ATGTTTACCTTAAAAAAACTACATGTTTTTCATGAAATGAGACTATATATAAATATAGAAGAAGCCAGACATTCAGATATCTCTAACCACAGATTAAGGAATGAATCTGTACTTATTAGTATATTATATTGAAATAAGATATTAAGGACTAGATATTTCATTAATTTTATTTCAGAGTTGGGTCTAGAATTTTAGATTCAGATACATTCATAAGTAAATTTTTAATTATTAAACATTGAATTTGCATCAGAAAAATCTGTTGTGAAGATACATATATAAGTACATAACCAAATCCTAATAAAAAAACAGTAGTTAATTAAGTAGATGATAAGCCAAGTTTTTATTAGTACTTTAAAGTCCGAGTTAATTTTTCATGTACAAGTACCAAAAATCCTTTCAGAACTTTTTATGCCACATGTCCAGCTATCTTAGTGCTGATTTTCTAACTTCAGGATACTAATTTGTGAGTGAAGACCTTAAGCTGATTTCTTTTTTTTTTGAGACAGAGCCTCACTCTGTCACCTGGGCTAGAGTGCAGGGCGAGGTCACATTCACATCTGGTTTCTTTTACTGTAATACGCATGCAGTGAATGAATAATTTGTGAGAACACATTTGCCCCATCTTTTTAATGTTTAAAATTTGTCATTAGTGAACCTTCCTAATTGTCAGTCTTGAGGATTATGTTGTGTATTTCCAGAAAGACTATAGAGTTGACTTTAAAATATATACCCCAATAGATAAGTAAACATAAGTCCATAATCAGAATTTTCCATTGAAAATACCATAAGTTATGCCCATTCATTCACCGGTTATTTGATACTGTTTCTTTGGAGATGATTATGTAGGATGAACAAAAAGGTAGGTAAATTATAGTTACTTAGATCACAGGCACATGCTCGTTTAATGTATCCTTTTGCTTTAATGAAGAGGCATAAATTCATTGGAAGAGCCTAAATGCCACTGGGGCGCCTATTTCATGTTGTTCATCTTGGAGCAATTGAAGAGGTGGCACAGGATCTTCATGGGGCAGTCAGTGTTCTGAGTCTTGGGCATTCAGTCAGGCTTTTGTTATCTTTCTGACCTCAGTGGCAAAACTAAAACTAAGGTGATTCTTTCTTAAGCCTTAATTAAGAACTTGGAAGACTTCTTTTTCCAGGAGAGGAGATTATACATAAAATAAAGAAACTTTTATCGTACTATCTAATCCTTCCTCTGTTATATTACAAAGTATGTAATGCGATCTCTTTTTTTTTCTTCCCTAGCATTACTTGTCATTTTATTCCTTTGCCTCTTAAAAAACTTCAACCTCCAACAGATGCAACCGTGGACATTTTATTTCTTTCACATCTTGTGCCTTGGGGAAGTTGTCCGATGACATACACAGGCATATAGACATGTCCCAGACTAGCTGGTAATTAGGCAAACCTAAGAAAGCCCCTAAATGATAGCCTGGCTCTTTGTGTTAATAGGTGGCCGTGACGTGGTGGGGTAGGTGGGCGGGCAATCTCTGATTCCATTGTTTCTTTGTCCCTGCCCTCTTAATTTCCCCTTTACTGTGGCTTAATATTGACCTTTTTCCTTAAAATAGAAATTCATATTAAATTTAATATAAACTTAAATTTATATCTTGAGAAGGGGAGCAGCTACATTGGAATATCTGGCACATCTCTTCTGTACTGAAGATCTGACGTCTAATAACAACTCTTCTTTACTACATCTCATTAGCAGAGGCTCAATCAGTGGTGGTAGAAGTACCTAAGGCAGAAGAGAAGGTTGTGCCAGTGCTCTACTTTGACTTAAGTCAGGGGCACATTTAATTAAGTTAAAATGATCAGGTGATGAGTCCCTATAGAGAATCGAATTTATGATCTCTACTTGGAGTAATTATTTGATACGGCTTCATGCTGTTACATTATGTTGGTGCATGCACATTTGGTGTAAAAAATCCAATAGGGAATGATTTTAAGCATTAGTAAATTATTTGGGGGCAAACATTTTCCCTTGATTACTTTTCTACCTGGAAGCTTATGACTTATGAGAAAAGTCATAAACAGACTGCAGTAGGAGGCTCTGGGGTAATAGAGTAAGCACTGTAAGTGGTAAAACCTTCAACTGCTTTGTAATAAAAGGTTCCTCATTTTGTGGTTGAGTTGCTTAGATGAAGTCACATATTTCATATAATTTATATAAAGTACAACATTTCCAAGTGCTTGAGGATTTTTCGTTCGTTTTTGCTGGAAAATTATAGAGTACAGGTGTGATACTCTAGTCGCTCAGTGCTTTGAATTCTGACTGCATCACTTACCAAGAGTGTGATGTGATCCTCATTTTCTCATCTATAAAATAAGAGATTATAAAACCAAACTCGGGGGAGGTGTTCTGAGATGATAACAGATGAAAATCACCGACTGCATAGCGGAAGGTCAGTGAAAGTTCCCCTTCACACCTTTCCTTTTAAACACTCACGGTATTATGTTCATATTTGAATATGGTAGTCATCACTGATCATATCAGCATGTGTGGTTCAAGAAGTACATTCAGCCCACATTCCTTTTCACATGGTGCGCAAGCGAGTATTAATCTTTAACTTGGTGGTGGTTATCTGCTGGATCTCACAGCCGTTGCCATTTTGCACTCTCCAGTGTCTTTGAGCATTCGTTCACAACGTGCCAACCATTAGCCAGTCAGTGTGCTGCTGTCACACAGGGTGGCCTTGTCACATACATTTTGAAGGTATTATTTCGCATCTTGAACTACCACTGTTTTCTTTTGGAATGTGATTGTGTAAGCGCTTCCAAACAATTATTTGTCATCATTATAAGGTGCTGCTGCATCATTATAAGGTGCACCTCTTTCTTACTCATAAGGGCCTGGACATTTCACCTAGGAGAGAGCTGCTGCTGTGGTTTGGGTGACAAGAGTCACCAGGAATCACATTTCAGCCAAGAGGAAGGGCTTTGTGTTTATAGTCGGTGCTGGACGCTGGGCTTGTTCCCAATAGTTGCTGGCACATAGTGGGTGAGCAGTGAGTGAGTTGATTGAAGGAATTTGTGCATGAATAGATGAAGTAAGCTGTAGCATTTGTTTTTATTTTTTATGTAGTCAAGTTACTTTCTTGTAGACTTGAGGAATTTCCTATAAGGATTAGCTTCTCAGTGAAGAATCTGCCACGCCCTGTGGGTTTTTTCTTCTAAAACTGTTGTAATACTTTTAGGATCCCATAGAAACTCAGTCCCATGATAAGTAAAATCATACTGCCTTTTGGTCATTACATATTTAGTGTCTTCTGTTCTGCCTGTCAGTATTTACTTACTAATTGATTGAAACATTCAGTTCTTTAGGGAGAGTGAATATTACACAATCCTTTTTCCCTAGGTTATATCCCACTTGTATTTTTCAATTTTCATTTTCTTTCTTTTTTTCTAAATATGAAGTCTTTATTATTCTCCATCTATGATTTTAGGACATGGGTCATCTTCCCAGTCATATGAGAGTTGGAGATGAAAATGAAAAATTTGCAGCATCTTGTTCCTAATAATTTTTGTATTTACATATTTTGGTTCTTTTTTTAGTTGGCTTAATTTTCTGTTTTTTTATTATCCATCACTTTATTCTTATGCACAACCTTATGTATTGGGAGCACCCTAGGACTTCTCATTCATCAAATGTATATTGTTTAACTCTACCTAAGCGCCTCCACAAATGCTGGTGTAGGTTCCAGAAATATAAACTTTAAAGTTCAATGATCATTCCTAGAGAGGTTGAACATGGTTCTCTCCCTTACCCATCCTTTTTAGGATTTTTAGATTTCACCCTGACTGGGAATCAAATGTATGTGTTCTCTAGAATTAATTATTAATGCTCAATAATGGCATTACTGATTTGGAATTTTATAGCTGAAGCTGGCCTTTGCCTGCACGGTCTTTTGCCTGGTCAGTGATAAACACGACTCCAGGCAGGAATATCCTCTTCCATGGTACTTTGTTATCTGCTGTATACTGCTAAGACTCCTTCCATCCCTTCCTCCCTCCCTTCCTTCTCCCTCAAATTTATGGGATGAAAAATGATCTGGAGTCAATGAAAGTATACTACCAAATAATATTAAATTCCATTAATTGAGAACTATCTTTCATTCTCTGAGACTTCCAAGATATCTGGGAAATCCGCTTTACTTCTCCCAGGTAGTGGGGCATTTGGGGATGAGGTGGAATGTTCACTTGGGTCAGATGGCCTGATTTCAAATCGTAGTTCCACCAGCTGCTGCGTTACTTAAACTCTTGGACTGTCAGTGTTTTAAGCTGTAAAATGATACCTTATAAAATGGTTGGGAAGATTCAATGAGATAATGTCTATAAAGCACTTAGCACATAAGATCTCAAAAGTGTTCACTTATTTTTTATCATTATAATGATTAAGTGGATTCATAACCAAATGGTTGTATTTCATTGCTTAAATTTGCCATGTTACATTTTGAAGAATTTGTCATCATGAAACACCAAAAGAATATTAGTATAAAAACTCTAATCAGCCTGAGCAAGAGCAAGACCCCATCTCTACAAAAAATTAAAAAATTAGTCCGATGTGGTGGCATGCGCCTATAGTCCCGGCTACCTGGGAGGCTGAGACAGGATTACTCAAGCCCAAGATTGTGAGGTTGCAGTGAGCTGTGACACCACTGTACTATAGCCCTGGTGACAGAGTGAGACCCTGCCTAAAAAAAAAACCCAAAACTATATTATCTTTAATCAGCATGTTGAATGGAACTTATTTTACATATTCATTTTTTTTAAAGAACCTAGCTTGTTTATTAATTTGGTGATTTTTCATTAGAGTTGTGCTTCTTCCTGAAAGTAGAACTGAAAATGTAGCTTCTTTTATTATTTTATTTTACTAATGCAGAATAGAAAATGAAAAAGAAAGCAAGAAGGAGAAAGAAAAGTCTGGTAGATTTGAAAGCGAAATGAATACTATACTATGATTTAATTCTTTTTCTCTTTAGATCTTCTAGAGAAATCTCGGGTTGTTAAGCAACCAAGAGGTGAAAGAAACTTCCATGTGTTCTATCAGCTGCTCTCTGGTGCCTCTGAAGAGCTCCTCAGTAAGTCCCTGTTTCTGTGTTTTAATTTTCAGAATCATAGCATTTTCCAAAACATTCTCTTTAAAATGTACTCCATGTGCTTTGCCGCTTCCTTCTTAAGACTGTTCCATGACTCTGGTTGGAGTGAGGAACATGATGTGTTTGCCTCTACCAACACCTGAGCATTTGTTTCATATCCCTGTACCTTACCAGATACTGTTCCATACGGCTCAAATGGGTTGAAAGAGCTAGATATTAGTGGAGGTACTAATCATAAATTTAAAAAATAAAATAGAAAAATATAATTATTCCATCCAGAGAGAGAAAACTAGCAGGGAGCAGTAAATGAGTACAATTATATAAAAACAAATTGCATTTGCAACTGACACAAGATATAAAAATCTGACCTTTGGATATTTTAGAGAATTAGTATCTAAGTCCACAAGGACAGTATTCAGTAGCCAATAGCCAAGTGATGAAAAACAATGAACAAATATTTAATAGTTCAAATGAGAAGAGCTTTGGAAGGTCAGCAGCACTCAGGAAAAATCATCCTCACTAATAATCAATAAATGCAAATTAAAACAGCACTGAAGTAGCTACTCTACATATATTAGTAAAATATTAAAAAGGATACAGTTAGCAGAATTGTCACTGATCTACTTAGTGCTATGGATATCACTTCAGAGTGAGGACCTCCTCCTGGGGGACTAATTGGCAATCCAAAATAAGAGTCACAAAATGATCAGAGCTTACCACCCAGTCATATCATTTTTTGGAATATATCCCAACAAAGTAATTGAAGTGAATCCAAAAAGCCATTTGTATAGACATTTATCACTGCCCTTTATTATTAAAAACTAGAGAGAACCCAAATACCCAATGTTGAGGGATTCGCTAGACAGACATCATATGTTATAATGAAATAGTACACTGAAGGTATTTTATATTATAAAAATATGGGAAAAGACTTATACAAAAAGAAGTACAAAAAGTGTAAAAAAGAAGAGTTTGTAATAATGTACAACAGTGATAAAAGTGATTTTAAGAAAATGCTATTATTCATATTTGGGTATCAGTTTTTCTTTTGATTTAGTACTCAATATGAAAGTCATTTTTTTTTTAATTTCAGATTATGACGGTACAAACGTTTTGGTTACATGTCTTGCTTTTGTATAGTTTGAGTCAATGTTTTAAGTGTGCCCATCCCCCAGATAGTGTGCATGTACCCATTAGGTGTGAATTTACCCATTTTATCTGCGTGAATGAGATAGCTAAAGGAATGAGATATTAAAGATGATTGGATTTATTGAAGTGACTTATCAATTTGTGTTTATGATTCAACAGATAAACTTAAACTGGAGCGAGATTTCAGCAGATACAACTACCTGAGTCTGGACTCCGCTAAAGTTAATGGAGTGGACGATGCAGCAAATTTCAGAACCGTTAGGGTAAGAAATGATGCTTTCCTTAAGCTTTAAATTGGACACCACTCTATTGCTCAGTGGAACTGGTAACAATTCTGAGTTTTCTTTAAAGTGTAACTCATGTTCCCTAAGGTTTTAGAATTATACAATAATTTATTATATTTTTATTAGTTTGATTTTTTTTATTAGCTCAAAAATCACACAAGATTGTGAAGGCTTTGCTTTTATGCGAGTATGCAATTTTACCCTTAATCAAAAGGAGCTTTCTTATTATGTTATCCTGGGGTTTGCCTCTTTTAATGTTTAAATTCCAAATGTTTTTATAGCCAAATTCATTTCCAAGTGTGAAAACTGCCCTTGGATCATGTTAAATCAAAACCGTTTTTAAGACAGAAAATCTTGTTTTTATACAGTTTTAGAAAACTCATACATAAACCAAAATGATTAGCACTCCACGTTCATTAGAAAGGAAATGATTTTAAATAGTACTGTACTCTGTCTTTAGTCTTTATGTGGCACGCACTTTCAAAATTGCTCCTGTTATGACGTGATGTGGTGACTGGGATTTGCTTCCAGATGAGACAGCTATGGGGGGAGAGGGGGGAGGAGGTTGGATTATGGATAAAACAAGACTGGTATCAGTTAATCATAGAGGGTGAGCGAAAAGGACCCGAGGGTTCTCATGCTGCTCTCTCTACTTCTGCATGTGTTTGAAATTTTCCATAACAACAAAAACAATCTTACATTACTCCCATTGCTATGTAGCCTAGTCATTTAAAAGGAAAAGAAGCCAGCTGTTCTCAAAGAGAAAGTATCTCTTAGAGTATGTCATTTTTAAAAACTGTATAAACATCCTCATATGGAAACAATAATCTGTTGATTTCCTGGACATGATTTTGTTTAAGAATCGAGTCCAAGATCAGTGTTATAACCACTTTGCCTGGCACATAGCTGGCACTCCAGAAAAAATTCGTGAATGAATGAATGCATGAATACCTCCTGTTACCCACAGTGTCTCGGACTAGGCACTTCCCCTTTACAAACCACAATTTTTCTGATACACAAAATAAGTGAGGAGGTTTTCTTTGTAGGGGGTTGTGAAAGCTTTTTGTTTGGTTTTGTTTCTAGTAGCAGAGCCGCAGTGTAAAAAGACATATGAAGCAAGCCGCTGTGGCTGAAGTGGGAGTGAGGACCTGAGGCTCTGTGCCCAGCATCCTCCTCCTCTTTTGCATGCCCCTCTGCCACAGCACGCGGGGTACTCCCAGACTCTCTGAATCATAGTTTGAAGCCACTGACCTCTAGATATAGCTTTATCTTTTAAGGTTTTATTTATTTTCCTCCCAGAAATAAATCTCTGTTATATGATCCATTAAAAAAAAAAAGAAAGAAAGAAATAGAAAAAGAAAACAGGTGCTTTTCTTTCTCTCCCAGAATGCCATGCAGATTGTGGGCTTTATGGATCACGAAGCTGAGTCTGTCTTGGAGGTAGTGGCGGCAGTGTTGAAACTGGGGAACATCGAGTTCAAGCCCGAATCTCGAGTGAATGGTTTAGATGAAAGCAAAATCAAAGATAAAAATGGTAAGTCAGTGGAGAATCAGTTTTGTTTAGGAAACTTGCTTTGAACGTCTGCCCAGTTTTTAATCTAGAAGTGAAACTTTTGCTTTGCATTAGTTTGAAAAATGTTTTCTAGTGAAACTGAGCAGAAATATAATTGCAGCTAAGTTTTAAGTTTTCTGATTTATACATTTTATACTATGCAGTTTGAATGTGATTTAGAAAGAATGACCTAAGCCCTGAAAATGACTAGTGGCAACACATAGACAGTCACTTTTTGTGTCCATCCCCCCCTCCCTACAGAGTTAAAAGAAATTTGTGAGTTGACTGGCATCGATCAGTCAGTTCTAGAACGGGCATTCAGTTTCCGAACAGTTGAGGCCAAGCAGGAGAAAGTTTCAACTACGCTGAACGTGGCTCAGGTGGGTGAAACATAATTTATAGAAGAAAGTTTTTTAAGAGTCCGTGCTATTTTATAAAGAAGAATTTTATTTTGCAGGCTATTATCTCAACTTTCATGCTATGTTCCAGGCATCATTCTAGGCATTGGGACACAGCAGTAAACTAAACAGATAGGGATCCTTGCTGCCATGGAGCTTAAAATTCTGGCAGGGGGAACTAGACACTAAATAAATGATATAGCAAGCTAGTAGGTGGCAAGTGCAGCAGGCAAAGAGAAAAAGTAGAGCAGAGTAAAGGACATCCACAGGACCAGGGAAGGAGGGTCAGAGAGAGGTGGGAAACCACTGGAGGGTTTTGAGCAGAAGAGGAGTGAGATGCCTTGTATTTCAAAGGGCTACTCTGGCTGCAATCTGGAGAGCAGAGGGAAGGGAGGGAGGGGTGACTGGGGGGGAACCTTTGAGGAGACATGCATTAACCTGGGTTCATGATGGTGGCTTGAACCAGGTGGCCACAATGCAGTCATTGAGAAGTGGTCACATTCTGGATATCATTTGAAGGTAGAGGCTGATAGATTTGCGGAAGACTTGACATGTGGTATAAGAGGAAGAAGAGTCAAGGATGGTTCAATGCCTTTGGCCCAAGCAACTGGAAACATGGAGTTACCATTTATTGATTTGGTGAAGACAGTCGGAGAAGCCAGTTTTGTGGTCAACTGGCCAAATTGGCCTTCCTGCCTTCCGTATTGTTCCCCCCTAGTGAAGCCTTTCTAAGATATAAATCTGAGCTGTCATCTTCTCCCCTTCTGCTTCAGGTTAAATGGATGGATGTTGGATGGATGCGTGCACACGTGCTTGTGTACCCAGGTGGCTTCTGGAGCCCCATTCAGTGTAAACCCTTTTCTAACCCTGTGGCTTTGACATTTTCCTACCAGTCAATGCTGATTCGGGCTAGAATAAAATGACTAATTTAGGACTTTTCCCACTCAGGTCTACTTTGTCCAACTGTATTCCTTTGTCTCATCCTCCTTGTAACTATCCTTAAGCCTCTGGAAGACAGCAGGGTGGCTTTCTCTCTGTTGCTCTGAGCTGGTCTTTCCTACTAACGCAAGAATGCCTGCGTGTCCTTAGCTCTCTTCAGTGTTGCTTTCTTATTTTAGTGAGTTAATTTGGCTATGGCAAATACTATAACTTTGTGGAAATTTGGTTTGTAGCAATCCTTTCCTAGCTGTAACCATTATCTGTCCTTCCTCCTAAATGACTGCTTCTGCTGTCACTCTGTACAAGTCCACCTTACTCACTCAAAGTGAGATGGCAAGTGACTGACTTACTCAAGAAAATGTTGCAGAGAGCCTGCGCAGCACAAGCCCCCATGGAGACCATTAGTAGGGAAATAAGGGATTAAGGAAGACTCGTGCAGAAGATCGAAGGGTTTACGTGTGTAAAGAATGGGCGAAAGTGCATGCTAAAAGAAAAAAATGTGAGAAAAGCCAGGTTCAGAGTACATATGAGGAAAAAGATCAGTCAAGCTTGGCTACAGCTTTAGAGAAGTGAAAGGGGTTCAAAGCAGTGTTGCTGGAAAGGTGAAGTCTGGAGTCAGAGTGGAAAGACTGCAGCAGTCTTCAAATTCGAGTGCGCATCAGTCACCCGAAGGACTGGCCTGTTAAACGCAGTTTGCCGACCGCACCTCCAGTGTGTTTGATTCAGTGGGTCTGAGGTGGGACTGAAGAATCTGTATTTCTAATAAGTTTAAAGGTGACACTGCTGGTGCTCTTGGTCCAGGATCACATTTTGAGAACTACAGAATTTGGACGTTTTCAATAGCCAGAGTGGCAGTTGTTGAGAGGGTAGTATCGCCATGAAAAACGCGTGTCGTTTATGAAGGTCCATTAGGAATATATATATTTGGAGTCTTTTTAAAATTGTGTTTTACTCTTGCTTTTTTAATCCATCCTTTGTGGAAACCAGGCCCAGATGCCTCTTACTTTACAAGCTTATTTTAGTCACCTTACATTACTAGGTAAAACTTTTCCGTATTTTCTTAACCTTTGGAATAAAAGAATTTGGCAATTGAGCTCCTCATTTATTCAGCTCTTTAATCAAGTTTTTTTTTTTTAATGTAGTGTTCAGGTATCTGGTTCTACCTATCTTACTGCCCAGTAGGTTTTGATTCTGTGAGAAGTGATTTGTCTCATTAGCTTTTCCTCATAGCTTCAATTCTTGGGCCCCAGTATTATTTTTATTGCCCCATGCCTCATTTTCCCAAGGCATGTAGATCTCTCCCCAGATAGGATGAGTATTACAATAATGGAAACTCAAGTATCATTCAGCTTCTACTGCATACTCTGTCCTTGGCTTCCAAGGCCCTCTGGAATCTGACCTTATGCAGCTTATCTCAGTTTATGCCTTGCTAGTTCTCTAAATGCCATGCTTATTTTTACCTGGTGCCTTTGCTCCTGCTTGCCTGTCACCGCCCCATGTCATTGCTCATTCCTTCTGCCAAATGGTCCACCCAATGGCACCCCACCCAAGGAGCCTTCTTTGATCAAATAGGTGCCCCGAAGCCCCCTTCTCTGAACTCCCTTTTCTTCCATGTCTGGCATCTGCCCTCTGATTGTGCCATTTGTGTTCATTTGATCTCCCCAGCTCCACTCTAAGCCCCTGGAGAGTAGGCACCATGTCTGTGCATAGTGGGCCATGCACATACTGTCCTGAGCCACCCCTGATCCCGGCCATCTCTGGAGTGGATTCCATCTGGGATTTTCCTCTGTGAGCTCCAGGCAGCTACAGAAATGCATAGTCTTTTCATAGCATGCTTGGAAACCGAGGTGGTGAATCAGTGCACTTGGTGTCTTCCCTCATTTCTCCACACCTTATTAGTGATCCTTAAAGGGGAGTAAACATTCTTGCCCTTACTGCTTTGTGGGGTACTATTGTGGAGATTAGGTAGCATGAATCAGGCTCAAGAAGTTAGGGATTGGCAGCCCCTGGGGTCAGATGTAGCTTGATAGGCATATTTTATTTCAATAAAGAGTAGTTTTTTCTTTGGTTTTGTTTGTTTGCTTTTTAAATTTTGAATGCGAGTATCTTTAACCTGGAATACATCCTCTAACCACTACGAAGCCACTACTTTCTGTTCCTTTCTATCACACAGTCCCTGGAAGCATTTAACTTTGATACCCTTTGGCATAAGAATTTGTTTGAAGGAAGCAAAGAAGATTAATATTTGCTCAGAATACACTTTAAAAAATGTAAAGTAGTTTGCCAGAATAAGTTATTGTTGTCAGTTCAGTTGCATATTGAAATGTTGGTTTGCTGGAAGCAGATAGCATACAACTAAAAAAGCTGATGACATTAAGATGAAAAAGGATTTATTTACAAATACATGGTGTTTTAAGGTTGTGCATTTTGAGATAACTTGAATTTACAAGAAGAAAAGGGAAAGGGCTTGTGAAGTAGTAATAGAGGAAAAGGATACTTAAAAAGTCATAATATCAATACATTTATAGACTATCAGGCAGGCACTGTTCTAAGCACTTAAATTACCTATTTTAAGAAAGTAAAAACTAGAATAAAGGGTATTGGGGAAAGGATATGCATCTAAATTATATTTTGGCTTCTTTTTCTGTTTTAGCATTTTATATGCATTTTCTACTATGGAGTTACTCCCTCCCATTTTTTTTGCCAACTCCTGGGTTTATTTTCTAAGCCTGATTGGAGTAACAGTGTGAGATTGAGGGAGGAAAGTTGGGGATTAGCACAGAAGTGTCAAATGAAGGGAAAAGTTGCTCCTTCCAGCTGTGATGTGTTGCCAGGGAAGTGAATGTGTTGTTAAAGTTGTTACAGTCATTCAGGAAGAAATGTGGAAAAGGTATTCCTACATAATCTAACAAGTTGTGTTCTTTATAAAATAAAAAAGTACTGGTTTATTTTAACGGTCATTCCTGACTTTCTACTTACAAGCAGCAAAGTATGTACATCTGGCCGGCATGTTAAAAACTAACAAAACCTCCTCGAGCATTCCCTTCCCAAGGCCGGTTCCTTCTTATGTTACTGACACTTATCTCCAGGCCTCCCCAGAAGGGCTGGCATTAAATGTCTGATTGGTACTTGCTATGCGCCAGGGGCACCCAGCACGCTGAGGGCTGTTAGGTTCTCCGGTCCACACCTCACTTCCTCCAGGCGTTGCATTCCAAGCCTAGAGTCATAGAGATATACGTGTCTTTTGCTTCTTCTTTGTCCAGTAGCTCTGAACAGCTTTAAAAATAAATAAATAAGCACATAAAATGGGTTTATTTCATACTACAACTTAATAGAACGCATTGTGGAAGATTTTTTAAATACTCAAAAGGGTGAATAAAGAAAAAAATTTTACAGATTCCATCAGTCAAAGCCATTTTAATGTATTTCCTTTGCATTTCCTTTCCTATGTGTAAGGGTTTAAAAAAGCATTTGTTATTGTATTAAGTACACAGTTTTTTAGTTTTCACATAACATAAGCATTTCCATTTCATTACCTAATTTTCATAACCATCATTCTTCAATGACTATGTAACATTCCTTTCAGTGGGTATTTATTTTACTACCTTCCATTGTTGGACTTCTAAATTGCCTCTGATTTCTCTCTGTTCCATAACATTGAGATGAATATCTTTGTGGTGAAAGCTTTTGCAATATTTAGAATTAGTTTCCTGGTATGTGAAAAAATATAACTGCATGTAAACAATTTGCCTAATTCTATTAAAGTCTTACTGTTTATCCAGAGTATAATAAAAACTGGTTCTGATAAGAAATTGAAATAAAAGGGCTTTAAATGTTTAAATATATATATCTGCCTTATTTTATTGAAATTAAGCATTGTAGCAATTGTAGGTATTAAGTTTTTCTTTCTCTTTTTAATAGGCTTATTATGCCCGTGATGCTCTGGCTAAAAACCTCTACAGCAGGTTGTTTTCATGGTTGGTAAATCGAATCAATGAAAGCATAAAGGTACTTCATCTCTTTAAGCAAAGAAATCAGTTGTAATAAATGGTATTCACAATATAAACTTTAAGTTGAAGAAAGTTTAATTTTGTAAATAGGTAATTTATTACCACTTATAAAGATTATTCCTTAAAAAGAATTTACCTTAAGATTGAAATTTGTCAGGGATTTTGTTTATTTTGTTTTGCTATATGTGTTGTCTCTCACTGGTGAATAGTCTAATAATTTTTGTGGAGTTACTCAGAGAATCAGCATCCCAGGGCCTGGTCTGGCTCATCTGCTAATTAGTTGTACACATTCAGCTGAAAAGGTCACTTTACCTCTCTAGGTTAATGTGTTCTTCATTAAAATGGAGGTGTTAAACTAGGTGATTTTGAAAGGCCCTACCTCTTGTAAGATTCAGTAATTTTTTTTTTTTTAATAATTAAAACTAATACCTTCTTGGAATAAGTCACCTATTATTAAAATTTTTAAAAGATTCCATACCAATAGCCCATCTCATAAGTTTAAAATAAAACCAAGCAAATTACAGTTATTCTCCGAGTTAAGAAACACAGTTAACCTGTAATATATGTCTATGCTTCTTGGATGCTTGTCATGTTGTATTTTATGCCTAAATTAACCCATTAATTTGAAACTTTTTTTAAGGCACAAACAAAAGTGAGAAAGAAGGTTATGGGTGTTTTGGACATTTATGGCTTTGAAATTTTTGAGGTAAGATTTAAAAAATTTCTTGTTAGCACTTTTATTAAAGTATAATAGTTAGAAATTAAATCCTGTATTTTATAGACATTTATTATAACTTTGAATCTACAAATAAGCTTTTGTGCAGATGTAACAAAATTTGGTCGTGTGTATTCGTGTTTATGTGTTAAGTGCTGAGAGCCAGCTACAATGCTGTTTAAAAAGAACTTCTTACATCAGTACTTCTGAAATTGCAAATTTAAAATTTGTACTGCGAGGCTTCTGATGAGCTACATGATTACGCCTGTGGCCATTTTCTCATTTGTAGGTTGCTTGGAAGGTGAGGCAGGTTGGTGTCATGGGAAAAGCCAGGAAGGGGGTGGCCAGATATGGGTCTTGGCCTTGCCTAGCTGGTCATTTTCTCCGTGAGACTCAGGGGCACAGGGTCTGGATTAGGCGATTCATTGAGTCTCCTCCAGGTCTCATCCGGCTGTGACCTCGTGATAATGAATTCTGCTGGAGAGGTTGAAATACTTTCTGCTGAAGTTCATATTGAATTTTTAAAAATGATTCTATCTTGCTACAAATTAAATATTTAAACATACACTTATGTTAGAATTTCCTTTCCACCTTCTTGCTAACTTTGACATTTAGAAGCAGTTTTAAGGACCTATTAAAACACTTATTCTTGATTTTAGGAGTGGTATTTTAGTTTGCTTCCTGGAAATAACAAGTAGATCAGACTCTTATTTTTTTAATTCTTCCCAAGTAGTGATTTGTGAATTTCTTTACATAACTAGGCCCAGAATGACCACCCAAAGAATTTATGTGTTCCAGAAGATTAGGGTCACAGAATCATGGAGAAAGCATCAGAGTATCCTCTGCAGCTGACTTTTCTAGCAAATGCCTTTTTCTTATAATGGTCATTTTTATGATAGTATGTTCTCCCTCAATCATGATTCACATTTAGTAGCTAGTGGTAAATACTTACCAAGGACTGACTGTATACAAGCAGTATGGTAAGTGTTGTGTTATATGGTCTGATTTAATTTTCAAAATAACCTCACGAAGTAGCTGTTACTATTATTCCCATTTTACAGATGAGAAAGCGAGGTCCTGAAGTTCATGTAAGTCCCGCAAGTTACATGGCTATGTAGTGGCGGACGCAGGACCTAAACTCTAGGTCCCTAATATTTTCATTTATGGCTTTTCTTTCCTACTAGGGATGAGACCAAGACCGTTGCTTTACATTTCTCCCCAAACTAACAGGTTCCCCAATATCTGGAAATAAGGAAAACACCAAACATTGTGATGAGTCTCTGACTGCCCTGTTTCCCCGCCCTTGTCATCATTCCGAGTGCCTGGCCAGCATCGGGAGCCTTCCCAGATGGACGCATGTGTGCTGGCAGCTGTCCCCCAGTGGGCCCCCAGCTCACAGCTCTTTAGCACAAAGTCTGTTTGTACTGCTGCCCCTTTAGCAGAATCTGCCAAGGAAAGCTGCCAGTCTTTTGGTAAAAGAGAAGAATTTGAGGTTTGTGAGTTAGGAGAATTGCTTGAGTGTGCTCAGAAATCACTCCGTCAAAATTAATGTATTTCTAGCAAGACCTCAGGTCACTGTCGCTAAATGGACAGAATGTCAAAGTGATTCTTTATAGTTGGCAGGGAAGAATATTTCTTACCTGGCACATTGCTGATCTAGATTTAAGTGGTTTCAAGAGCAAGGCAGATGGTAAGCAGAGATTTCACTGGAAAGTTAGAATGGAATTCAATGATATTTCTAAAATAAAAGAAACTGATTTTGTTTTAATTTTGCCAGAAAAAGACATTGATTTTAAGCCAGTGTGCAGGTGCTTAATGTCATGTCATAATACATGGAAACTTTTAAAAATAGGATAATGGCATTATGCTGGGATATCCACTTAGCTTCCTCTTCCAGTAGGCCCTAAGATCTAATTAGCCATGGGAAAGGAGACCCATATGACACTCTAAGGAAACTGGGTTATACCTCACGAACAGTTTGAGTCATTTCTCAAGTATTTATTATTTACCAGATACCAGGAGAAAACAGGTGTTCCTTGTCTGCGTGGAGCTTACAGTCTTGGCCCTCAGATTGAGAGCCTGTTACTGCAGGGAATACATTCTATTGGGTAGGAAGGTCTAATCAGGAAACTAGATTACTTTTCAAAGTATGTTTGCTACAGACCTAATCAGAATAGAAGTTGGATGTTCGTGAGTAAAACACCCTTAAACTTAGCACTGGACGAAATACACTTCGGCAATCCAGGAATATTTTTCGCATATGGTTAATTCAGGTTTCTCTCCAAGCCTATCTTGCTGAACATGTCTTCCTTCTGCAAGTTATACCATCATTTTTCTCAACACTGTTACCACTAGAGACTTTAATATATTTCTAAATACTTTTCTCCCTTTCTTCAGAGGAATACTCTACTTCAGAAGTTCACACTTAGCTGCAAATTGGAATCACCTAGCAAGCTTTTGAAACTTCAGATGTCTAGGCTGTACCCAGACCAATTATATCAGAATCTCTGGGGGTGGGGCCCCTGCAGCAGTATTGTTAAAGTTCCAAGGTGATCCCTGTGTGCCGTCACAGTTGAGACCAAATGCTCTAGTAGAGGTAAACTCCAGAGTGAACTGTAAATTGCAAATATATGTGGTGTTCATGCTGTTTGACCTCTGGCACAATATTGAGCCTTACTTGCTGTTCATCTATATAGAAATCTAGTCTGTGCATAAATAATATAATTAAAACCAAACAAGTTATATTTTTATTCTTTTTAAACAAAACTTTGAGCCAAGGCCAAATCCAGTCAGTTATATGTCTGTAGCAAACCGTACAATGGCCATAACATCATTAAAAGTTAATTTTCCTTCTCTATGCAGTAAATGCTTTGTTTTTCCTCCCCTACCCCCACCCAGTTCCTTGAGAGAATTAAGATTTGTTTTTATGTTATAATTAGTTGTTCTCTCCATTTTCCTAATCTCAGATTGATCTTCAAGCATTTTGATTTTTAATACCCTGTTTATTATTTATTTTATAAACACATTTATTTGGGGGGAAGTCAGAATAGAGATTTGGTTAAGTGCTTTTTTAGATATTTTTACTTCTTGACATAGAATTACAAAATTTTTGTCTCTTCTCTAAGAAATTATTCACATACACACCCCAGATGCAAGCCCACGTTTTCCTGGATTCTCAGCAATGTTAGAGCTCATAGAAACATCAGCAAGTGCATAGTATTGAACATTAGGAAACCAAGATAATTAAGGACTTAAAAGTACTGCAAGCTGAAGTACAAGGGGTCAGGGTATAGAACAATATTCAGATCCACATCAATGCAAAAATGATATTTTCCACCAGGTGAAAATAAACTGATAGAGTATAAATAAAGTTCATTTTTTTTCTTTGTTCTTTTGTGAAAATTAGCTGTAGGATTTAAGAGTTCTGCCTTTTAGAATACCCCGGGCATCTCTTTAAAAACTAGACCATAAAGGGCCAGAACGTTTTTTTTTTAATGTGTCTAGTTCTGCCTCGTGACTCCACTGAGAGTCTCCATGAAACTGCTTTTTAGCTGAGCTGGTGGAAACCTTTCATTCTCTTTGGTCCGTCTCTAAACGGAAGAGGGAAATTGATGCATTAAACCATGGGATGATGACACATGGATTTGACTGCAAAACATTCCAGTACCAGCTGGGTGAATAAGCCCTGCCTTGCTGGCCGCGTGTGATCTGATGTCAGTTTGGAAAACAGATGAGTGGAACATTGATACCAAAAATAAGATGATATGAATTAAATTCATAGAGGAAAAAACAATCTAGCTGTAAATCCTAGTAGAATGTAAGTCCGGCTTTCCAAAGGAAGAAAATTATAATCCAAATACTCCAATTCCGCACCATTAAGTTTGGACGTTCTTGTAACTGAAAACATGATCTATGTCATCTGAGAAATATTTGTTGCATCTCCATAAAAGAAAAAAAGCTTTTCTTTTTTTAAAAATGATATGAAATTCAAAAGTAAGTTGAGCAATCTACATTGATTCAGCTCTTTTTCTAAGTACTTATCTGATAGGTATTAAAGTTGGCAGGTGGTTTACTAGCATAATCTAATTAATCATTCATGTTCTGTAGGCCAAAGCAAGCAGTGGTGGCTGATTATTTCACTTTTCATATAGTTGAGCTAGTTTCATACAGGCAAAGTGCTAGTTATTTTTAACTGTTCCTTTATGCACCTTACTGAAAGTGACCCATATACAGTAAGAATACGACAGGCTAGACGAAATACTTGTTTCAAATAAAACAATCTAACTTTTGCGCAAGAGCCAATGTAGCCTAGTACGTTGATCATTGGATTTGTTTTCTAAATTGTTTTTAATTCTGATTATAGTCAACACCTTCTCTTCTAGTTTTTGGTCTTTAATTTTGTTTTTCACGTGCTAGAGAACTTACAGTTAAAGAAAAAGGAAACAATTTAAAGTAGATTTAAAAACGAAAATGGTGCTGTTAACTGTGGTTTGTAATATATATGCACATCATTACTCTTGCTCTAACTTTTTAAATGAAAGGCTATTTAAAAACATTTAAGCACTGTAACACTGTTTTTCTTAAAAATTTGCTATATTTGCATGTATACCTAAAAGAAAAATGTTATATATTGTAAAGAGAATTTTCCTAAAACTTAAGGCAGTCATTCAATTTTGTAAATGTCTAAAAAGTAGAATACTTAAATGTTAAATATTTTTCTCATATATTTTGAGGATTTCATAAAGGTTTACTTCTGAAAAAAATCAGTTCTTGATTTGGAGCCTATTTCTTGACATCGTGATATTTAAAAATGGATTGTGGTTAAGTGTATCATATTTTTCTATATGAGTAGCATTATAATCAGGGGCTGCCAAAGGCCTTATACCAAATAAATCTTTGTTAGGACCAATAGCACATTTTACAGCAGTAATATAGCCCAACTTCTCTAAAGCAGTGATACTAGGCTCAAAACCCTGTAACTAGATAAATTAGTTTATCTCATTTATGAATTTATTGTTTCATCTATTATGCAAGAGACTGCACTGTATGTAAAATTTAGAAACCCAGTCCACTGTGTCATGTCCAAAATTTGACTCCAAATGAAAGTGCTGAAGTATAACATTTTTATATAATTAATAATACTTTTTGCTTAAATAAGTCATGGTCTTTGTGTTTGAACTGCTCACTGTGACACTAATATTCACTTGCACACTCCTCATTTCACCATCCCAAATACAGAGGGGATAGAGCTGCCTCCTGCATTTGCTATCTTCCTTTCAATATTTATTATTTAAAGTGTGTAAGAGTTTTAAAAATATGTGTTCCTTAAAGAGTATAAAATATCATTAGCCTCCTCTGTTGCTGAAGAGAATATATAAATAGGCCGGTATTTTTGATAGATCTTTCAAAATCATTCCACATGGAAAGTTTGTGATTGATGCTTATGAGTATAAACCAGTTATAAACTCTTTGTGGAGTATGATTTTCTGTTTCTTTGATGTTGAAAGGATGGACTCAAAGTCTAGAATCTTTGAAAGAAGCCCTAGAGTTTAAAATTTGGGTATATTATATCCTTCTAAACATAGTAAGTGCTCACTATCCCAGTCTACAGTTGGCAAAATATAGTGTGAAATAGAATAGCATAGAACCCAGACACCTTGCTGTTTACCTGTGTTCTCTAAAGCAGCCTGAGCTGCATTCAAGGGGATTGTATAATAGAGATCCCATGATGTACTTGTTTGAAGATGCTTCTAAAAGTTTTCTTTTTATCCCTCAGTCTTTAGGGATAAATGTGGGTAAGACAATAGAGAAAAATTGCATGCATGGAGCATGGGTAGAAAACTGGAGACAGCGATGAGTCATTCATGAGGACAAGCTTCTGCCCACTTCCTCCTTTGGAGGCTTTGATTCATGAGACCCACACATGGGAGAGCTGCCCAGCCCCGGGACTGCTGGCTACTCACACAGTTCTTGACAAACTAAAGAAAGTCTCCAAATATAAAGTTGCTCGGGGGCCTTCATATTTATGTGATGGTTTCTAGACACAGTTTATCTAATTTATGAAGGGGAAGGGGACCCAAGTTGAACAACCTGGTGTTAATTTAATACCTATATAAATGGAACAGGTGTTGGACCTATGTAAGTTGGAGTTCTATGAACTCTTACCAGGCTGTTCCTTGATTTTCTGCAAGTTATTATTTGTTCACTAAGTTTTTGCAAGTTATTTTAAATCATGTGTGAAGTCCCATTTCCTTCCAAATTTGAACAGTACCAACAACTTAGATCACAAAAACTGTGTCTTTAGCCTTCACTTTCAGCAGTAATTAGCACTCTGGTGATGCTTGACATGTTTTGGAGGCTTTGGAGGTTTGTTTGCAATAGATGCTGATTTCTAAGGGAAAGTGGGTTAATTTCTACATTGATGATTGTGCTATTATGTTTGCAGGGGTTTTTTGTTTTTTAAATTTTAGCATTAGAATAAGGTTGGAGAGTCAAGTTTTTGTTCTTTGGCTGTCTCCAGAACACTTCTCCTTGCCACCTTGTTTGTTTTTGAAGGAGAGGTTTTAGTATAGTACAGGACTGGGTCACCGGGGCGGGAAAGATGAGGTACTTTTGGATCTTGCTGGGTCTCTTCACTGTTCAGTAATCTGCCAACTAACTCTTACTCTCTTTTTTTTTGAGAAGACAGGGTCTTGCTCTGTTGCCTGAGCTAGAGTGCAGTGGCATCATCGTAGCTCACTACAACCTCAAACTCCTGGGCTCGAGTGATCCTTCTGCCTCAGCCTCCCAAGTAACTGGGACTGCAGGCACATGCCACTATGCCCAGCTAATTTTTGTATTTTTTATAGAGATGAGGTCTCATTCTTGCTCACGCTGATCTTGAACTCCTGGCCTCAAGCGATCCTCCCGCCTCGGCCTTTCAAAGTGCTAGGATTACAGGTGTGAACCGTCGCACCTGGCCTGCCGCTGACTCTTTCGGTGGATGTTGGCCTTGGATAAATGTCATGTACATTTTCTTTTTCCTGATAATTTAGAATTAGAAGCATTAGATTCTGAAGGCTTAAAGCTTCGGTCAGTTATATGATTTATCATTATTTCAGTCAAAGCATTTTCGTCCTGGATAGCTCCTCCCTAGCAGAACCACAATTGAGATACCACATGGAGGTATTGTGGTCCTGTTTTTTGAATTGATTGGACATGTGTCTTGATCTAAAGTTTTATGCCAATTAAAACTATAGCTTGAATGGTAAAAGCTGTCATTTGTGACAATGAATAACTATCAATAAGTGTTTACTTTTAGAAGTTCATTGCTAATTAAGAACTGACTACATTTCGTGTAATCTGTCCCTTTTTGCGCCAGAATGCAGTAAGTATGAACTGTTTGCAGTGCCAGTCTGTTGCATGCTCCTGTGTTAATAGCTTCTCTAGCTGTGTGAGTTTTGTAGTAAATGGTTGTTGATTAACTGTGTGGATATGAAATACAGAATTCATACAGGAATTTCTAAAGGTTAAAGACATATTTAATTTAGCTTTTACTTATTCCTTAAGTTGTGTTATGATTGTGAAGTTTTGCCTCTGGTTTCTAATCTGCTTGTGTGTTTCATAGTCCTGTTTTAGAAGTGTACTTCAAGCTGTTCATAGCCACCAGTGTGTCTGAGGACACTGGTTGCTTTCCCCTTCCTTCTCCTCATTAATTGCCACTTGATGATTTAGCATAATTGGGTTGAAATCGCTTCATGGGCACAGACTTGCCAAATAACAGAAAAGATTTACTCCATGAGTTGGTTTTCTAAAACAAACCAAAGATCTGCTCTTGTAAGCCATTAAAAGTTTAATTTTGTTTATAAGTTTTTCATTTGCGGTAGTTGGCATTATATAAGGACATGTTTTACCAAACTAAAAAGCTAGATTTTCTCACATATGAAATGTCTTTATGCTAATTATAATAATAATAAGGCATCTATGCCAGACTGACTTCAGTTTCTAATCACAATTGTTAGCTCTGAGGATTTGAGCACAGGGTTTTAAAAAATTTCTGTGAAAATGAATACTGAGGAAGACCCTTTGTGTCTGAGACTATATTTGTTGAAAGTATTGAAAATAAATGTTTGCCCTTTAGTAGGAACCTTCAGCATTTGAAAAAAATAAATAAACTTTTATCCGGGACTAGATTTACCATTAACAAGTAAGTCAGTGGTAGTGTATTCACATGTGTCACTTACAGTTTAGAGTTAAAAACTTCTGCTGATCAGTTCATCACTGGTGATTAGAAATCCTTAGCTGACTCCCAGGAGAAAATGTGGTGAGATGTTGCATCATAAGTATCATTTAAAAATTTTCCCAGGTAGGACCAAAGTTGATTTTAAAAGATCAACTTTCAAAAAGCTCTATGACTTCTTCCCTTTTGTCCTTTATGGAGAGATCTGGAGGCCTGTTGCTCTGCATATCCGCAAGGAGCAGTGAGCTTCAGCTACACCATTGTATGTGGACCCTTCTTGCTCATTAGACCAGGACGGGCCACTTCAGTGGGAGAAGAATTCCACTTGGCAAAGGGGAGAGACAGAGGTGAAAATAACAAGTTTTAGTGCTAGATCTACCTCTTCCTGGAAGATGTGGTTCTTGGTGAAATGTATTCATCCAACAGACATGTGCTTTGTACACTCAATATGTACAGCAATACACTAAGCCCTGTGGATTGTTCAGAAATGATTTAGGCTGGAGCTTCCCTCAGAGAATTCATAAGAGATAACTCTAATATGCTGAAATACATTAAGAGGGATCAAGTGTGTTGGGCCTTCTGAGAAGACAGAGACTGTTTCTAGCTAGGGAGATGATTTTGATGGTTTAATTCCCTTGGGTCTCTATTTGGTAAGAACTTCATTCCTTCATTTGTTCACCCAGTTCATATTGAGTACGTGCTAGGTGTGAGGTGCTGTGTGAGGCCAGGGAATACAGTGAACAAGAGAGTGTGGTCGCCTTGCACTTAAGGAGTGTGCAGCCTAGTGAGGCAGATGAGTATGGAACTAATCAACACGTGTGTACACTTACATGCACACATGTTCATCGAACATGTTTTATAAAAAGGGCCAGGGCATAAGAATCAGTGGGGGATCTGACCCTGGCAGGAGGGTGGATGGGAGTAAGAGGTCAGGTCAGAAGGACTTTCTTGAGCTCTAAAGTTTCACCTGAGAATGGAAGATTGAGGACTTGGTGACAGAAATTGTAAATATCACTGTGTCTTTGCTGATCCTTCAGGGGAATTATTTTTTAAACATGTGTGGAGTGTTTCTCCATCAACTAAAAATCTTCATGCTTCAAATACTGCATCATTTGTGTATACTTCATTCATTCACTTTCTCGTGAAGCACTCCTCGAGTGCTGCAATGGGCAAGCGTCTGTCCTAGGAGCCGTGTGCTGGGCCGCAGTTAAATCTGAAAGATCGTGTGTGGCATTTCTCATGGATTGAGGTGTCTGAGTGTCATTTTATGGGAGAACTAGTGACGTGATTTATAAGGCTTTTTTCATTTTCTTCATACAGGACAACAGCTTTGAGCAGTTCATTATTAATTATTGTAATGAGAAGCTGCAACAGATCTTCATTGAACTTACCCTTAAAGAAGAACAAGAAGAGTATATACGGGAGGTAATGTTGAAATGCTTTTTCAAAATGCTGGTCCTTTGTTACTCATAATATAAATTCCAGATTCAGAAGATGGTCTTAACATGACCCTGGAATCAGGTTTATCTAAGTTTAGTCAAATTGTGTTTTTTTTAAAATATGTTTGGTATGACATCTAAGCTAAGTGGGACTTTCTTTTTTACTGTGCCACTGGTGCCCAGAATGATGCCTAGCACATAGTAGGTGCTCAATAAATAACAGTTGGCAGCCTCTAATCTCATTGGATTCCAACATAATGATGAAAAATAACAATGTGTTAAGAAAATAGCCTGAAGCCGGGTGCAGTGAGGCACGGCTATAATCCCAGCTACTTGGTAGGCTGGGATGGGAGGATTGCTTGAACCCAGAAATTCGAGACCACCCTGGGCAACATAGTGAGACCCTGTCTCAAAAAAATAAAAGAAAGAAAATAAATAGGCCAAGATAGCAGTCGTGGAAAGCTTATAACTGCAAAGGATAGCACAAGGGAATTTTGGGGACTGATTATGGTGGTGGTTACATGATACTATGCATTTGCCAAAACTTAAAAGAAATAGTCTCACTGTAAGGAGATTTGAAAATATTTCAAGACTTTGCTCAATCTCAATCAAAAGCATTGCTTTTCAAAATTTATAATAAAATAGGTAACATTTGTTGCATGCTTGCTACATATGAGGTATTGTATTAAGTGCTTTGTATAAATTATCTCATTTAATGTAATTCAAAAATAACCAGAAGTTATGTTTGCAAAGTCCTTGCATTTTTAAAACACATACCTGGTTTTCACCCTTTCATTTTTTGAATAGCCAGTCTTTTTCCAGGTATAAAATTATTTATTTCAAAAAAATAAAAGGGAAGAATTATTTTACGGTCTATATTTTTGTTTCCTTTTCATTTATTTCTTTAATATTTTGGTAATGATATTGCCCATTTTCTTTAGTGTCATTTTAAGCTTTTAAGGACACAGAATCCTCTTTTGTTTCTCAATATAGATTTTTCTAATGTGATTATTATCCCCAGTGACTTAGTAAAACAACCCATTTACTCTAAAGCTAAATCATAAACATTTCATCTTGATTTTAGAATGCTTGATGTTTTAGAAATGTTTTATACTTCTCTGGCACTTTTTGGTAACATAAATATCCTAAAAGCAAGATTCATTCTCTTCCTGTCTTTTCATCATAGAGTATGCCCAAACTTTGATGTGTAACTTAAAACAGTTTGTACAGATTGTCTAAAACACTTCTAAGAGTATATAGGAGGATTCCTAGGTTGCTGTATGAATTAAATTCTCTCCCCTTAGAAGAAAAATAAATGTTTATACTTACAGACAAAGTGTAAGCAGACACAGAATGATTACATTTGGCCTTACAGATTTGGCTTCGTAGCTAGCGTTAGAACCAGTGGATAGGTTTTCATGTCTTTCCTTATGTTGAACATATTTATACTCTGTCTTGACACAGGGCTTTTTTTATACTTGAAATAGTTAACTTCCCTACAACATAAGATTGACTCTAAAATTAATTTTTTCCTTGTGATTACAAATTAAGAACAGAAAAATCTGGGCCTTAAATTCTTGGGATCAAGTTCTAACTTATTTCCTTATAAACACTGTAAATATACACAGAGTAATATTGACCCAAGGGCCTGTTGAATAAATATTTGGCCCAGGGCCAGTGAAGTGCATGGGAAATTGCTACAGATTGGAGAGTGGAATGGGAGACAGTTTCAGAATAGGTCAAGGGCATGCGCTTCAATCAGTTTATGTCAACAGTGGGTTGCTGCCTTAAGAAAGTTTTGGGAACTGAATACGACATTTGCAGCATCAATTCTATAAAGGAAATAAATTCAGAGAAGAAGTGAAATATGATAAGATGGGCAAAGTCTGTTTTATGGGTGGTAGTGTTGGGGCTTCGTCATATGTGATTTGATTTTGTTCTGTTTTATTTTTTAGGACATAGAGTGGACTCACATTGACTACTTCAATAATGCTATCATATGTGACCTAATAGAAAATGTGAGTACTTAGGTACAGTTTTCTAAAGAATGTTTTTTTAGTAATATAATTCACTAATTATAAATGTTCTCACTGCCTTCGATTTTAAGCATTAGTATTATCACTCTTTTACACTTTTTTTTTAAGGGACTACAGAGTTCTGGAGACTTTATTGTAGCCCTAAGAGATCACACACAGTTTTTGAACACATATATAAACAGCTGGACACTTTGATACTTAGCCAGGGTCCCCCAAGACCATCCTGTTGTCATATTACAGAGCCCTTTTATGACCTTCAGACACGAGGCCCTTAAATGCACCAGCCTTTTTTGTGTGGTTGGAGCCAGGTCCAATCCATGGCTCCTGGGAATGTGGGTACTTGGTCAGAGTAGGCTCTGAGCAGCCACCCAGTGTTTTGCCAAACCAAAATATCCATTTCATTTTTAAAACACTAGTGACCTCTTAACATACTGTCTCCATTAAGATAAAAAGGGATAAAGGGACAATCTCTGGAGCTGAATTAAGTGGGACCCCAGAAGTGGCTCAGGTACAGATCTAGCACTGGTTCTGAGAATGTTGCGGAGGGTGTTGCATGTGTGACTGCAGGTGGCCAAGGACCCTGGAATTTTTCAGATGACCCAAATCCATGTGTATGTATGTGAAAAAACTTAAAGTATGAAAAATTATTGGATAATTTTTAGTAAGCTTTCTGCATCCAAGATTTTTGTTTTTAGATTGTATTCTGTAGTTTATCATAAATGAATTAATTGTAGGAAGACCGATTTGTGTGTGAAAACCAGGGAACTATTATGTTATGTTTAGGATTACTAGTACTTTTGACTTGGGTAAAGTAATTTGAGACAATGTGTAAACTTCATTGTCCTACAGTCTTTTTAGCAGTCAGTGGTAGGGGAATGCTGTGTTTCAGGAATACCATCACAGGCCCTGAATATATAGCAGACCATTTTCTTTTCATCTTTAACAAGCCCTTTTGGAAATGACGTAATTAGCCATTATCTTTTTCCTTCAATATGCAAGATACTCCTGAAAGTTGCATCTTTGAATAAATTGAACATTAAAAGCAATATTCTAAATCATCACTATTTTTCAATAAAAGTTAAACTTTGTTTTGGAAAATCTGAACAGTGTTGGAATGGGAACGCTAATATTCCACATAAGCAATTTAAAACTCTAGTCTAAAATCCAGAAAATCAGTGGATTTCCTGAGAAATTTTCCTGGTAAATTTTATGAAGAAGATAATTTGCTGTGGGAACTTTAATTTTCAGAATTCTTGACTAGTATGTTTTCCTTTATAAACATAACATTGCACTTAATTATTCTCCCTTAAGAAGAGGCGTGGGGGAAAGAACAGTGGTAATATACTTAATTCAACTAGGTTATCTCAGCCAAAAATCCCCTTGCATGTATGATTGAAGAAACTCATGTTCACATAGGAGCCTGGGTACATAAAGGAAATGTTTCCTTCCAGCATCATTAAACAATAAAGTTTATTCTGGGGATGTTATGAACACACTTGATTCCTGAGAGTCCACACTTCCCCTGGGTTTTGTGTGGAATAAGTAACTGCTGGTCAGAGGATGTCATGGCCTTGTGAGCAAAAGGGGAGAGGAACAGGGGACTTGGCCTTGGTGGAAGTGGGTGGGGCCAATGGTCAGTGGAGTGGATTGTTTTTGGAATTAAGACTTGTGAGCCTATAGGGGCAATCCAAGGAACCTCAGCCTTTATTTAGCAAAGTAAAAGCTTCCTCATTTCTGATTCAGTTTAGGACTGACTACTCTTGGAATAAATATGATCACAGGGTCTGAACGTGCAACAAATAAATTTTCATTTATGTTTTTCTATGTAGAACAAGCATGTTATTCTAAAGAGGTATTCTTGGAAACAGTTTGATTGCAATGATCATTAAAAGCAGCACTCCAAATCACAGCTTTCTTTCACTAGAAAATAAACTTTATTTTGAACACATGAAGAATTTGGAAACAAAACCAATCTCCTTCTTAAGCTGTGACTCAAATACTGGACTTAGGAGACTGCTTTGTGATTTGCAACGTTATGGAGGCTGTATTGTCACATTAGTTTCTGGCTTTTAGATTTGTTTTTGAATCTTTGCAGCCTAACTTGTCTTTTTATAATAGTATGAATTTCAGTCATTAGCTGGCTAAGGTGGCTGAGGTCACTCCCACGTCCTGTTCTGTGGGTGGGGAGAGACTGAGACAGATACATTCCTCGCCCCTGCCACACACACACCTGGGGACACTTTGGAAAAAAGCTATTTCCTGTGGCTTTTGTTATTTGTTTTTGATTCCCTGCTTTTCATTGTAACTTAGCAGAATTTTCTTATGACTAAGTTAATTGTGTTTGATGGGGAATAATTATTAAAACAATACAGTGAGGAAGGAAGGAGACTTTTATTTCCTTTCTCCCAGAACACAAATGGAATCCTGGCCATGCTGGACGAAGAGTGTCTGAGGCCTGGCACGGTCACTGATGAGACTTTCTTAGAAAAGCTGAACCAGGTCTGCGCCACCCACCAGCACTTCGAGAGCAGGATGAGCAAGTGCTCTCGGTTCCTCAACGACACGACGCTGCCTCACAGCTGCTTCCGAATCCAGCATTATGCTGGCAAGGTATGGGGCGGCCATGAGCACCAGGCCAGAGCCAGGCCTGCTGAGCCCTTCCTGCGAGGAGGCGGAGCCTGAGAACTGGGCGTTCTCAGTAAGCACTGTTGACTGGCAAGGACAAATCGAGCTACTGACATAGTTGACTCAATAAATGTTCAATAGAAATAGAATCTGCGCCATGGGGAGCAAAATTTCATTGTGGAGAACTGAAAGCAAAGCCAGTGAACTTAACAGAAAGTCCCAATATATTTTTAAAAATTGATTTTATTATTTTCAAGCTATATGCTATCCTATAAAAAATATCTCTTAACACTATTAAAGGAGATTTGCCAGTAAAAATTAGATGTCACCAAAGACTTACAATAAGGTTTTAAATGCACAAGCCACTTAGCAAAAATAAGGAATTCTTAGACTGAAATTTTGAAATGACACTGGGGGGAAAATAATACTTTTTAAGAAAGCACTTACATGGTTACTATTTCGGGGAATTAATTTCATGTCATCTAATATATAAAGAAAATGTTAAAAATAATCTTGAATATAGAGAGAAAAAATTAGCCAGGCATGGTGGCGCATGCCTGTAGTCCCAGCTACTCAGGAAGCTGAGGCAGGAGGATTGCTTGAGCCCAGGAGTTTGAGGTTGCTGTGAGCTAGGCTGACGCCACGGCACTCAATCTAGTCTGGGCAACAAAGTGAGACTCTGTCTCAAAAAAAAAACAAAAAAAACCAATCTCGATAATTGATTAATTTTTAGAATCCTAAAATATTGATTATAGTTAATACTTCCTTTCTTATAAGATTGCAAACTTCAAAGAGAAAAAATTTTAATTATGTATTTATAAACATTAAGTATGTATTATCTGAATTACCTTTAATTTCAAACTATTAAAGCTTGGTACTTCTTTTTTTACTTAGCCAAGATTATTAAAAGATACATTTCTGATCTATTTCTCTGCTGCTTCAGGATGTCTATGAAAATGTTAGTGTTATTTCTGTTTTCCCCTGTCTGCTTTTAAACAGACTAGAATTGGCACATGAGAACTAAAAAATAAAAGTAAAACCTCAAAATATGTTCAGACACCAAAAAAATCCAAAATCCTTTGAAAATGTTATGATAACATTTTTGGAATTTATTCTTGCAAATCTTGAATGGTAATAGAATTTATTTTGATCTCTTCTGTGATTTAGACAGATGGAATTTAAACTTGGAGGTGAATTCGATATAGAGTGTGACTAATGTGTCGGGGACTTTTTGGTAGTGAAGGAAGAGGCTGCAATGTGGATAGTCTTGGAATATTTTTAACAGTTGTTTGACATTACAGTGTGCAGTGTGCCAGTGTTGAATTCTGTATGCTGCTCATAGGTGCTGTACCAGGTGGAAGGATTTGTTGACAAAAACAACGACCTCCTCTATCGAGACCTGTCCCAGGCTATGTGGAAGGCCAGCCACGGCCTCATCAAGTCTTTGTTCCCCGAAGGGAATCCCACCAAGATCAACCTGAAAAGGCCTCCGACTGCAGGCTCTCAGTTCAAGGCATCCGTGGCCACTCTGATGAAAAACCTACAGACCAAGAACCCAAACTATATTAGGTATTTCTGGCATATAAAATTCTTTGACAGTTCAAACGTGAGAGCGGTATGAAGGAATATCATGTCCTTGTTTGCTTAAATCTGAGTGTAGCAAAAGCAGAGGATACCTGATGTACTTACAGCAGAAATAATATCTGGGATTGGTTTAAAAAATTCTCTGCTGTCCTTTCCCCCAAAATAAGAAAGTTAAAAAAATGAAGAAAAAAAAGTCAGGGGAATGATAATGATACTTAATGAAGCTCAGTTATTGGCATCTAGGGGTTTTCAACTTTCTGTATGTTTAGTATTTTTTTTTAATGACACATTAAGAAACAAAATGTAAATGTTTTTTCTGATCAGGGTTTTGCAAAAAACTCTTTGTTGGCTTCCTTTTGAATTCTTTTTACACTAACTTTGAGGAGAACACTGAAACAAGTGGAGCTTTAGTTGCAACTCTGATGCTTGGTAGGGAACATGCACCTCTTTCTTCCCGGCTACAGGTGTAGGCATGGAGAAAGTAATGATTTCTGAAAGCAATCTGAATTTTTTCAAAACAATAGAAAGATCTTCTTTAAAAACCTCTGGTCTCTTTTTTTTCCTACTTCTCGGGCATCTTAGATATAACTATCTCAAGATTCAGTAAGGACCAACTAGTATTAGAGTTTGTCATGTGTATTTGGTGAGCTAGATAATAGAAGATATGTATCTGTTGGGTCAGATTTCAGATAGCACACCCGTGCCCACGAATACTTTCTATAGTTGTCTTCGAAAATTCAGTTAGGAGGAAACTAGGGTGGAGAACATTTCTGTGCTTGGCTTGTTTACCTGATATTTATATTAGTGGAAACATGGCCAGGTGCGGTGGCTCACGCCTATAATCCTAGCACTCTGGGAAGCCAAGGCGGGAGGATTGCTTGAGCTCAGGAGTTCGAGACCAGCCTGAGCAAGAGCGAGACCCCGTCTATACTATAAATAGAAAGAAATTAGCCAAACAACTAAAAATAGAAAAAATTAGCCGGGCACAGTGGCGCATGCCTATAGTCCCAGCTACCTGGGAGGCTGAGGTAGGAGGATCGCTCGATCCTGGGAGTTTGAGGTTGCTGTGAGCTAGGCTGACGCCACAGCACTCTAGCCCAGGCAAGAGAGTGAGACTCTGTCTCAAAAATAAATAAATTAATGAATTAATGAAACATAAGTAGGCAAAATCCCCTGGTTTGATTGCAGTCAGATTAGAACATATATTGGGAGAAGATTCTAATGTAAAAAAAAAAAAAAAAAAGCCATGACTGTCCAGGCATGTGGCTCATGCCTATAATCCCAGCACTTTGAGAGGCCAAGGCAGGGGGATTGCTTGAGCCCAGGAGTTTGAGACCAGCCTGGGCAACATAGCAAGACTCCCATCTCTACAAAAAATATTAGCTGAGGGAAGGTGGTGGTTTGTGCCTGTAGTCCTAGCTACTTGGGAGGCTGAGACAGGGGGATTGCTTGAAGCACAGGAGTTTGAGGCTGCAGTGAGTTATGATCATGCCACTGCACTCTAGCCTGGTTGACAGAATGATACCCTGTCTCTTAAAAAAAAAAAAAAAAAAAAAGTAGGAAACTTTCTGTGATTAGTTGCTTTTGCTATCTCAATTGGGTGGATCTTTTTTTTTTTTGCATTTTACTATATTTTATTGAGGTATCATTTACATGAAGTGATATGCACAGATCTTAGGTGAATAGTTCAATTAATTTTTTAGCCAGGATATACACTTTTTGGTACCCACCACCCAGGTCAAGACAAAACATTTCTATCACCTCTGAAAGTTCCTTTATTTCCTTCCATTTTCATAGTTTTTATGTCTTCTCTAAGAAATGTTAATTAATAGACCCCAAGGTTGTGAATATATTATCATATATTTTCTTCAAGAACTTCGTAATTTCAGATTTCATATTTAGGTCAATTTTTCCTGCATATAGATATCCTGTTGCTCTGCCACCGTATATTGAAAAGAAAATAATCTATTTTTTCATTTATTTGCTTTGGTGCCTTTACTATCAGTCGAATGTATGTGTAGGGGTCTGAACTCACTAGGCTGTTCCATTGATCTATTTGTCTATCTTTATTTAAGCCAAAGTGTGGACATTATTTTTATAAATGGTAAAACAAAAAGCATGACACCAAAGCCAAACTATTAATAGATAAGATATAATTGTTGATATAGTGTGTGCATGTGTGTGTGTAATTTATTTGACCCTCGTAGGTAGACAGCCATAATCATAAATGTTTAACCGTCGTATTAGTTAGGACACAGGGGTTGCTGTAATATGATCCAAAACCAACAATGACTTAAACAAGATTGACATTTATTTCTTACGTAACTTCCAAATGTAAGGACTCCAGAGCTAATAGGACAGCTTCTTTTATTCTGTGGCTCTGCCATTTCTCAGGTGTTTTCTTCATCTGCATGGTCAAAGATGGCTATCCACCATGCCAACATTTGCAGCCAGCAGTAAACTAAACAAGCCAAGGGGAGAGCCCATCTTTTCCTCTAAGGACATAGACCAGAATCTACAGATGTTACTTCCCTTCTGATCCTAGTAGTGGTCCGAATTTGCGTGGCCACACGTACTTGCAAAGGAGGCTGGGAAATGTAGTCTTCCCTGGGCAGCAAAGTACCCTGGTTAAAAAAGAACAGACAGAGGGAGGCAACAATGATTTTTATCTTTTTATTGAGGTATTTTGTGTCTATAGTGAAGTGCATGAATCTTAAATGTGCAGCTTGTTGAATTTTGACATAGGTACGCACTTGTGTTACCCCGTCCAAACCAAGATGTGAAACATTTCCGTCATCACAGAAGGTTCCCTCGTGCCCTTCCATGTCTGTCCCCACCGCTACCGCTCCCCAGAGGACACGGCAATACTGATTTCTAACCCCGGATTAGCTTTGCTTGAACTTCATATAAATGGAATCACACATGTACTCTTTTATCATTTTTTCACTCAAAAAAGTATTAGTGATTCTCATACATGTTGTTGTCACCTATAGTAGTAGTTTATTCTTTTTTTAACTGCTGTATATGCAGTATCGTATTTATTTTTAGGTTGTTGTAGAATGATTTGAAATCATTTCAAAAGAAATGACTAGGTTTCCCAAGAATAACAAATTATTTTACTATGAAACAATCATATGTAATACTTTGTAAAATATGGACAGTTAAATCCTTAAGAGGCAGAGTTTAAAACCTAAAATCTTTGTAATCTCTTAGGTGTATCAAACCAAATGATAAAAAAGCAGCACACATCTTCAACGAGGCCCTGGTATGTCATCAGATCAGGTACCTGGGCCTTTTGGAGAATGTTCGAGTGCGGAGGGCCGGCTATGCCTTCAGGCAGGCATACGAGCCTTGCCTGGAACGCTACAAAATGCTTTGTAAGCAAACGTGGCCCCATTGGAAAGGACCAGCAAGGTAAGAAATTCATTGGCCATACTTACTAATGAATATTTAAAGTATAAAATAACATGCTTTTTCCCCACATGCTGTTAGGTAAACCAGAATTCTATGAAAAATTGGGTGTGACCTCTGTTTTGGACCCTTTTCTATAACAGTACCATTTTGTGCTAATTCTTGACTAATTATCAAGGTCTCGATTTTCTTAATGTCAAAATAGGACTTACGGAATCCACACTTGGAACTTGTATGTCAATATAATCGTTAAAATATGCCCATGATAAGTTTGTAGGAGGTGATTTTTAATTGATATATATATATATTTGTGTAGAATCATAGAAGGGCAAAGTTAGAGGCACGGGCTTACCATTCTCAGCTTGCCACTGTTCCCATGAGGAATTTCCCCCAGAGAGAGTCAGTGGGTGGGGGTGACGGTCTCACTCTGCCCAGGTCTGCACTAGTTGAGAATAGGGTGACAGGAGCAGATGGGATTCAGGGTCAGCGCTGTTGCTAGGAAAGCTTCATTGAAGAACGAGCCATACGGCTTTCAGCTGGTCTGCCCCGAAGTGCTCTGACCCATTCAGTCCCACACACGGCGCTGGACACTGCAGGCGCATCCGAGGAGCGTCCCCATGCCCTGTGAGCTCTCCGCGTGCACAGAGAACGTTCGTGCTGCCAGGCAGCCGCCGCAGGAGAGAAGTTAAGCCTTGCCTGTGCAGTGACCTTTCTTCTGCTCTCTGCAGGCTGCAGAAGCTCTCTCCAGAACACTTCAGGAGGGCTAACATGCATGTTTCATGGGCGTGGGCAGGAACTTAGAATTTTCATTTCATTGTACTTGTGTTGCCTTCACATTCTCAGTGGACCCAGCCTTTCACGGGAACACCAATAGTATTAAGACACCCGTTGTGCATTATAAGAAGACATAGAAACTCCAGGCATGTAGTGTGGTCTCTAATGCCTAATAATGTTGGATCTGGGTACTTTTTCAGTTCCCACTGCTAATTTCCAGGGTATTATGGAAAACGTGTACCATACTATGGAACATATACTTACTCCCTGCTTGGCACCTAGTCCGCAGGTGGTGGAGCGAGGTTTAGTTTTGGAAAGCCGGGGTCCAGGGGGTGCAGGTCAGAGTCAAGTCCAGGCCTCGCTCTCACCATGTACAGCTCACGTTCTTTCGCATCCCATTGGGCTGGCGCTTAGCACACCCTGAGGGGCAGGAACAATGTCTAAAATGTTTTCAAGAATTAACTGAGTGGGTTCTGAGTTTCTTCTACACCCTTCTGGCCCTGTTTGGTACATCATTATGGGGCTGTCTGATAAAAGTGATACTGTCTGTACTAATGCAATGAAGAAATTGGCTTTAATACCATATTTTCTTGGAATACGTAGTTCTGAACCCACATTTACCTTTTTAGTGTTTACCAGATTTGGTTTAATTTATGGAATTCAGTTTTGAAAATTCTTTGATAGAAGGATGATTACTGAAAAAGCAGTTGTGCTTGGAAATGAAGCTATTTTTTTTATAACACAGAGAACCTGATATCATGATATAAGCTAAGATAAAACTATTTTCGTAACTCAGAAAACTGTTTTTATTTTGTTTATTTTTTTAAGGTCTGGTGTGGAGGTCCTGTTTAATGAATTAGAGATTCCTGTTGAAGAATACTCCTTTGGTAGATCAAAGATATTCATCCGAAACCCAAGAACAGTATGTAACCAAAACTTTCACACTCGGAACTTAAGTTAGAATCATATAGGCAAGTTCTTAAAAGATATTTAATTTTATAACATTACCCGAGGTACTGCCACAAATGCCACAGTCTTGTGTTCTTCTGCAAATGTCCAGGAGGATGGAGCAAATACAGGATAGTGGAAAAACATGTAATTTTTACGAACTGTCAGTCTTTGGTCTGATAGATTGTACAACACTTAAGAAATTATAAAGAAACTGTTACTACAACAATAAAACCTCCTGCATTCATAGCAACTAGGGGAAAATTCAGTCTATATTTGTAATATCTGAATTATGCAATAATTTTAGGAACTGTAGCCCTATTATTTAGAGATACATGAGGGCACTCAAATGAAACTTTTTTTAAAGTTAAAAAGAACACTTTTAAAATTTTACCTCTTAGGCCAGGCACGGTAGCTCACACCTGTAATCCCAGCACTTTGGGAAGCTAAGGCAGGAGGATCACTTGAGGCCAGGAGTTCAAGACCAGCCTGGGCAACATAATGAGACCCCGTGTCTACAAAAAATAAAAATAAAAATAAATTAGTTGGATGTGGTGGTGTGTGCCTATAGTCCCAGGTACTTGGGAGGTTGAAGTGGGAGGATCATTTGTTCCCAGGAGTTCAAGGCTACAGCAAGCTATCATGCTACTGCATTCCAGCCTGGGCGACACAGCAAGACCCTGTCCCAAAAAAATAAAATAGAATTCTACCTCATAGAACCCTAAGGGAACCTTTAAATAAATGAATAGATGAGCATGAAGTATATTAGTATAGCAGTTGATTGGTAATTTGGAAATTTACAGATTTGGGAATGTATTAATATTTAAATTGTTTAAGAGAGAAATTTTGCCAACATCTGCTTTCCATTAGTAATTTGCATCCTCATAGATAGTGTGAAGGGAGACTTAAGTTTTCTTCAGCCTCTCTTGATTTGTCATAAATTCTGAATCACTGGAATAAAAATTGTGCATTTTTCATGAATTCATCAAAATCATTTTCTCATGGGCTGTTATCCATCTCTTGTGTAATTAATGTGATTTTTCAATTTTTTTTTTCTCACCATGGCTGACTCCAACATTATGGCATTTTACTTCATGAGAATTCCTATCCTGTAAAGTTTTGGGGGATTATTGATAAATCCGTCTGTCATTTCTTACTAGCTTTTCAAATTAGAAGATTTGAGGAAGCAAAGGCTCGAGGACTTGGCCACACTCATTCAGAAGATTTATCGGGGGTGGAAATGCCGCACACACTTCCTGCTAATGAAGAAAAGCCAGATCGTGATTGCTGCCTGGTACAGGAGATACGCGGTAGGAGTCCTGGTCATTTTTAATTTGATTAACGATACTAATTTGCCAGCATTTGTTGTGTACTCACTACGTACGTAATTTTTACATATTTAATTCTCCCAACAACCTCATGAGATAGATAGATCTCTTATGGTTCTATTTGTAAAGATGAGAAAACTAAGGTACTGAGCTGTTGAGTAACTTGTCCCCCATGGCCACACAGCAATAAGTGGCAGAGCTGGGATTGGAATCCAAGACAATTTCAGAGCTCAAGTTTGCTATATCACATTGCCTTCCACTGATCTAAATATATATAGTGGGAAATTTGCATCTTCAGTTTGGTCATCAGATTGGAAGGGACAATGTCATTTAACCTTTGACTATGATTGGGTCCATTTTCCAGATCAGTTGATTGTTCTCCATTTATAGTAACAGTATTGAAAATGGCTTTAAATCCAGAAAGCTAATGCCATGTTTTAGTAGAATTCTGGTTCTGGTTGAAGGATTAGATTCTCTTTAGCCCTCAAGTATCTGGCCATATTATCTATGGGAAAAGATTCAATAATAAAGTACGTTTATTAATGTGGAATTTCTTTCTGGAATTTCCTTCTTAGCTTGGTGGTAGATGTTTTGTTGGAGGCGTACCACAGGTTTGAGAGAAGCTCGAAGATTGCCTCTAGGCTAGCTTGAACTCAGTCGTGTTCTCACGGAATGCATTTTAGTGATAAAAATACTGCTTCCAGAGCTTTTCATTCTGTGCTTTTTTTTTTTTTTTTACCGCACAGTGAGTTGGAATATGAATTAAATTTGCACTCAGGTCTTTTTTTTGTGATCATATGCTTCCTTTTTCTCAGCCATAGAGATGTTTTGCTATAAGGCAATACATAATCAAGAATAATTTATGCTGACCTATTCTCACATAATACAGTTTAGTGTAGTATTTCCAAGCTTTAGAAATTAATGAGATACTTAAATCATTAAGCTAAAGAAAATTGGCTTTGTCTTTCAAAGAGTATCTTTAAAATTACTCTAGTTAAAAGAGTATAACCAGCAGTATAAGTCTTAAAGTATGAACCTGTCCAGCCACATGAGTGATAGTCATTCATATGTGTTCTGTAAAGGCACAGAGGACTGTTGTCACTCAGCTTGGTGGCGGTGGATTCTCGTCTGTGCACATAGCAGTGCTCCTTTATTCTGCTGTGGATTCATGGTGCTCTGTTTTCTATTTGCCTGAGAGAAGGAAAACCAACAAATAATCCCTAAGGAGCCCTTTTTATCATTTCTTATTTTGAGGTCATTAAGAAAATCCCCAGCCTAGGCTACGTAGCAAGACCTCATCTCTACCAAAAAAAAAAAAAAAATTAGCTGGGCACGGTGGCGTATCCCTATAGTCCCAGCTACTTGGGAAGCTGAGGCAGGAGGATCGCTTGAGCTCAGGCGTTGGAGGCTACAGTGAGCTGTGATCGTGCCACTGCACTTCAGGCTGGGTGACAGAGTAAGACCCCATCTCTGAAAAAGAGAGAGAAAAAAAAAGAAAAACAGTTTTAAAAACGAAAATAATAAAATAATTTTAAAAAGAATGATGGGGAGACAGGCTATAACTTCAGATAGGATGGTGGAGGAAGACCTTCTGGGAGGGGCAATTTGATCAGAAGGTTGAGAAGGAATAGGCAATGCAAAGCATTTGTACTCTCCCTCCCAGATAGAGCCTTTTGTCAACAGATGAAAAAGCGTCTCTATATGTCATTAACTCACAATGGTAGGAGTTATGAGCAATATTAACTTGAATGGAAACAAATAATAGACCAGTTTTTAGAGAAAGCATTAACCTCACTCTAGTGTTACAGCTCTTTCAAAATTTGAGCTAAATACCTCAACTAGTTGACTACATGTTACTCAAGCCAGTGATTAAGCTATTGTCCCTCAACCAAATAACTCAAAGATTTTCTGAACACTCATTTTTAGTTACTGATTATTTTTCCATATTTTTGATATTTCATGGTTCCTACAGATGAATTTTCAAGTGAGATATAGTTGTTTTCAAGCCATTTAGGAATGTAAAAAGAAAACATAAAGGTACCGAATGGATGTCAGAAGAGGTGGTCAGGCCGGGCACGATGGTTCACACCTGTAATCCTAGCTCTCTGGGAGGCCGAGGCGGGCAGATTGTTTGAGCTCAGGAGTTCGAAATCAGCCTGAGCAAGAGTGAGACCCCGTCTCTACTAAAATTAGAAAGAAATTAATTGGACAACTAAAAATATATAGAAAAAATTAGTCAGGCATGGTGGCGCATGCCTGTAGTCCCAGATACTTGGGAGGCTGAGGCAGGAGGATCGCTTGAGCCCAGGAGTTTGAGGTTGCTGTGAGCTAGGATGACACCACCGCGCTCTAGCCCAGGCAACACAGTGAAAAAAAAAAAAAAAAAAAAAAAGAGGTGGTCAGATATTGTAGGTGTGACTTGTTCACACATCTGTGGAATTTTACTCTGGGAAGAATCTTAGCGATTTCCCAGCTCCTCATTTGGCAGCTGAGGAAACTGAGGCCCAGAGAAGGCGAGCGACTTGTGCAGGGTCTCGGGATCCTCTGGCTTTTCTCCCTGGAGTCCTCTTTTGTTCTGCTGCCCGTCTATTGGTAAATCACCCTCCATGACCTCTGCTGTTCCACAATCCTGGCAGGCCTCTCTGTCATCTCAGAGAGTGGGAGCTGGGCCATCTAGCACTCCCGAAGTGAAAGGTTCACAGCGTCACTGCAGTACTGTGAAATGCTGTGAATTTTCATCAGAGATGCCCATGTTCCAGTGTATATTGCAGACTGAGTCCTGTAAGAGCTCCCTTTTCAAAGGAGAGTGTTCTGACAGCCTCTGCCCTCGCAGGCACCAGCCCTAGAGTAAGAGAGGCCTCTGTGTGTCGAGCTTGTCGAGCCCAAGCCTGGACCTCGCTGGGTTTTCTCTAACCCGCTCCACCTGGAAGCAGCCCCTGCTGCACCCGAGCCAGGGCACTGTCTGCCCTGTTGGCTTGTGTCCCCTGCAAGTCCTTGAGGGCAGGGATGGAGTCAGACACTTGTTAGAACCCCGAGGTTTTATGAAAATGCCTTATGCAGAGTAGGAGCTCAATATATTTAATACTTATTTGATTGATATCGGTTTATTTACATTTTTAGCTAATTTCTCACCTTGAAGCAGAGTAAAAACAGCAAACCGTTTTTACTGTTTTAAAGGAACTGGGGAGGTTACAGGTGGGCCCAGTAAGTGGCATAGTGAGAAATGACAGCGAGAAGAGAGGACACTCAAAAGCGGTTGCAGAACTCATTGTGTGTTCATTTGATGCTCATTTGCCGAGTATCTGCTGTGTGTGGGGCCCTGTATTATAACAGTGTAATATGAAGAACAGATGATGATAGTGCCAGGTCTTGAGCCATTTAGAAATTATTGTATTCAGCATCCTCGAAGCACTTGGATTAACTGTGATCATTCTGGATTGTGTGATATTTTGGTTTCTTTGCCCATTGGTTTCCAGAAAGTATGTGGATGGTCACGAGTCAGTTGCACTAAGTGAGCAAATAGCTTTTCTCAATCCTTGTACTGTCCACGTTACAATGTGTAACTACAACATATCCAACATTGTCCCCTTTTGTCCTACAGCAACAAAAGAGGTATCAGCAGATAAAGAGTTCTGCCTTGGTAATTCAGTCTTATATCCGGGGTTGGAAGGTGAGTTTAAAATAAGTGTGCTTTATTTATATGGGGCTTTTGGGTTCTTCACAAAGGATGATGTCTTCAGGCTCGCCCTGCAGGGGAGGGCTCCTCCATCTCCTGCCTCCCCTATAAACAGTCAGATGGAAAGAATAAATATTATGAGCCAAGTGGGGACCCTCGTGACCACGTCTTGGCTGCTTCCTTGTAACCAGCTTTCTTTTTAAGAGCTTTGTTCTCTCAGCAGGAAGTCCCTGAAATAATACTGTACGTGATTTCAGTATCCCCTTGCCCCATGTTTGCAAGAGCAGCTGTAGTCCCGAAGGCTGTCTCCCGGCCCTTGCCTTCACACCTCAAGTCCTTCCAGACCGACAGCACTCCAGCACCCCCAGCCCAGTGACTTCCATAACTTCCCGGCGACCAGCCTGCGGGCTGCCCCATAATGACTGAAAGATCCTGAGTTCTGGCCGGGTCTAATGGTGGGAGGCTGGGGAGGTGGTCACAGTGGGGGACCTGGTTTCAGGTCCTTCCTGCCAAGGCTTGGTTTGGGGGTCAGTGAACTGTGGCCCACAGGCCAAATCCAGCCTTGCTGCCTGTTTTCATACAACCTGTAAGCTGAGAATGGTTTTTATATTTTTAAACTATTGTGTAAAAAAAAACAAAAGAAGAGTTCATGATGTGAAAATTATATGAAATATAGATTTCAGTGTACATAAAGTTTTACTGGAAGACAGCCACCTTCATTTATTCCACAGATTGTCTGGCTACTCTAGCGCTACAGTGGCAAAGTCAGGTAGTTGTGATAGAGACCCACTGCATAATAGAGACTGACTGCAAACCTACGAAGCCGAAAGTATTACCTTCTGGCACTTTATGGAAAAGATTTCCTGACCCTTGCTGCAGGTCAAAGATACTTCAGGACCTGTTGTGACCACTTTCCTGTTAGATTTTGTGCAGTGGTCTGGATCCAGAAGGGATACTTCAAGGTAGTGTCCATGCCTGGAGCCCCTTTGGAGGGTAGAGCCTGGGCCCTGGACAACCCAAGGGCTTGGGAGTTGTCCCACGGCAGATGCCAAAATACAAGTCCAGGCATGTAGAGTACGTGAAACTGCTGCCTGCAGGTTCTTGCCTGACCTGACCTTGCCTGACCCTGGTCCCAGGGTACAGGTCAGAGACTTCAGAGGCAGGAACCAAAGTCCACTACCAAACCAGGTGTCCTCTCAGCCCCCATGAAATCAGTTTCCAGTAACTGCTGGAAAGAAGCCCCTGGTTTGAGATCAGTTAAATCATTTTGTTTTAGCAAATGTTTACAGATCTCTTTTGCATAAGAAGGACAGCTACGGTTGTGTTCCAGACCGTAATAATAGAAGAGATACAGTGGACTTTGGAGGATCACTGGAAATCCTCCGACCACATTCTGAGAACCACTGGTGTGCACCAGCTGGTGTTGCTGTGGTCAGATTTTTCCTGTTGCGTGTCAGGGCACGGGAGGCAGCTGTCCCAGTCTAGAGCGGGAACTACACTGCCATGCTTGACCACCTTGTCAGAGCAAGTTTGGAGCTGGGCACCTTCATCTTCCCTTCAAGCTGGAGCATAGTGTTGGGACTGCCATCTCTCAGGTCTTTTTTTCCAGTCACTGTGAATTCCACTTTCTTTAACATTCCCTTTTTTGGGTGATTCTACGCCTCAGGCTCGAAAAATCCTGCGGGAACTAAAGCATCAAAAGCGCTGTCAGGAAGCAGTCACAACCATTGCGGCGTACTGGCACGGGACCCAGGTAAGCCAGAGCCCCTGAGGACAGTGGTGGGTCGGGAGCGACGTCGAGTACAACCGCGGAGCCTCGGCCTCAGGGGCAGAAAATGTTTCACTGGCTTAAGCTACTGAGCACGCATCTGCCTCCTGCTCTTTCCAACGTTTTGGTGTGGGGTGGTGGCACACACTTTTGCATTTACCATTTGGTGGTGAGCGGTGTCTTTCTTTTTCTTGCTCCATTGGGAACCAGCAGTAACCTTTCCTGCCTTAAACTTTTCTGTAACTCCTTTTCACATGCATCACAGGCGCGAAGGGAACTGAGACGGCTGAAGGAGGAGGCTAGGAATAAACATGCTATTGCAGTTATTTGGGCTTACTGGCTTGGATCGAAGGTACTTGATGCACACATCCCAACGCTCCATCTGGGAATTCTGCTGTAATCAATCTTTATCTCTAGCATATTGGGGGGGATGACTACAGTGAATAGTGGCTCACACTGGTGCATGTCCTAGCCGCCAGATTTAATAAACCTGGAGATGTTAGTGTCAGTAGTGTGCATAGGAAGCTTAGGCATGTGTAGGCCAAAAAAACTAATTGCTTACTAATAAGGCACTAGTATAGTTGCTCTTTTTAAAAAATTCTTAAGTAACATGCATGTTTAGTTTCTCCCCCCCTCACCCCTGCCCCCGCCCCACTGATACATGCTAGCAGTTATTTAGGGATATTGGGGAGAGGGCATGTTGGGAATATTAAGGTTTGGGCTTGAATCAGTTCTCTGCAGTGTTTTGACAATGGAAATGACTTTAACACATGCCTTAAAAAAATTAATCCATTAATGAAATTGGTTTTTTAGCCTCACCGTGGCAGCTATTGATTATTATAAGCAAAATTACATGTGCAAAGAATTATCATCTGTGATTTAACAGAAAACCATGTTCATGCAAAGCTAGCTATAATTGCCACTGAAGAATTGCAGGAATTTCAGCATCAGCTGTTTGTTTTCAGAAACAAAGGCCTCCTGAAATACTCTCACTAATCCCCAGGCATAGCCGTGGGCTCTGTGAACATTTCACATACCCCAAGGGACGAGATTTTTAGATGTTTTCGTTACTTAGAAAATCAAAGGTCATCTTTGCTAAAAATGTGTATTCCAGTTAGAAACACAAATATCAACAGAGTCCTGTGTTTTTAAATGTACCTTGTCAACATTGTAAGCCTCTGTTATGAGAAAAAATGAGAAAAGTCAACATTTGCCTGCATAAAGAGCTTAATTTGCCAAAAATTGACCAAAGTTGTTCATTTGTGTTTTCCCTGAAAATCTGTGAAGCACAGACTAGTTCCTTTAGTCAACCCAGGGGAAGGTCTTCCCAGAGGCAGAAGGACTCTGAGACAGTTATTGCTGGGATTTCTCCATTGAGCGAGCTCATTTCCTGCTCTTGGTACTGTAATATCTTGAAAACTTAATGCCTTTTCTGTCTTTTAAAATAGCATGCCTAAGATTAATTTTTCCCTGAGAGTAATTTTTAAACCTGTAAGTTGTTATGTTTTACTTTTTGTCTTGCCTCAATCTTCAGTATATTATTTCCCTGTTTGGGGCCTCAGCTAAAATTGGGGTTTTTATACATGGCTACTTCCCATTTTTTAACTAGAAAGAATTTTTGAGTTTTGTTAGTTTGGGTTTTTGTTTGCACTTCAGAAAAATCCAGTTTTCTAAATGGTTGCTCACAGGAGTTATCTTTTTATCCGTCCAAATGATTGAACTCAGACAAGAGTGCATAGCTTCTTAAGCCCCATGTGCTGTCAGCGAAGGGAGGCCTAGCGGAATCATTAGGCCTGCCCCTCAGAGTTCTAAGTCTGATAAGGGAGGGAGAGGGTGTGGAGAAGGGAGCAAAGAGGGAGAGAGAACAGGGGAGAAGGAGGGAAAAGAATGGAAGCAAGGGGGCAGGAGGTGATTACCTTGGGTACACTGCACAGATTGTCCTCCTCTGGAACAGAATCTCAATGCACTGAAAATACAAGCGCTGCACCAGCTGACACTGTTCTTGGGTATAAATGATGATGCACTGTTCCTCTGTCATTCTGGAACCCTTATTCGTAAATTGGCTCTTCTGTTTGGTGTGCTGTCTGCATTGGGCTGTCTCTTTTATTTACTATCTAAAACATTCTAGGCTCGAAGGGAATTGAAACGCTTGAAGGAGGAGGCTAGGCGTAAGCATGCAGTTGCTGTCATTTGGGCTTACTGGCTTGGACTGAAGGTACTTCCTCAACCACTTCTTTCTGTCCAGGGTGAAATCCATAAAGCCTAGCACTTACTAACCCCGAGAAAACTGTTGATTATGCTTGCTGATGGTCTGCACACGTAGAATGTCATCTTGCCTAATTTTGTTTCTTTTTGAGAAGAAACCTGTGCACTAATATTTTTTCTGATGTTGCTGTGATTTCTGTTTCTTTAAATAATAGGTTTAAAGTAATAACAATATGACACATTTTATACAAGATACTTTGTTGTCCAAGTTTTATTTTATGTTATCTTTATGAGTATAAAGTTGTTTTTTTTTCTAATCCATGAGACAGTGACAATAGTTGAGCTAGAAGCTGACCTATACCCACAGTGGCCCGCCTGGGGATGCCAGGCTTTTGTTTTCCTTTGTCTGCCTATTCTGCTGCAATAATGGCTGGCTGGAGTAGAGCTTTCTTCAACATGATTCTAATTGTTCAGCGTAAAAACCAAAGGAGTTTGCGTCAGTAAATTTATGGATTATAATGAATGAGACCATAGTCAGAGATCAGTGGATCATTCAGGTTAAAGAGAACTTTAAATTCAAATGCCTGTGATTAGAGCAGGGCATATTTCAAAGTGGTATTTACTAGAGTAGGATATGCTTGTGTGTACAGTAGTACATATAAGTAAATATGACTCTGAGCTCTGGAAACCTTTAGAATAAGACTCTGAGCTCTGAAAAATCTTCAGACAATATCAAGATTTGATCTTCCTAAAATATTCAATAACTAATCACCATAGGGAGCCATCCCTGTTGCCTTTTGGGGATAATTAGGTCCCTTTTTGACACTATACCTCATCATTATTTTTACTTTTAATCCTATGGCATTTAATCTCATTCTAAATATTTGAATATTATCTGAGAAATCATTGACTCTGAATCTGAACAACTATTAGAAATATCTCTGAATTCTGCTTTGAACAATCTGCATTTTTTCCTGCAAGTTCAGCCTATAAACTTTTTTTTTTTTTTTTTTGAGACAGAGTCTCACTCTTTTTGCCCTGGGTAGAGTGAGTGCCGTGGCATCAGCCTAGCTCACAGCAACCTCAAACTCCTGGGCTCAAGCAATCCTACTGCCTCAGCCTCCCAGAGAGCTAGGATTACAGGCGTGAGCCACTGTGCCCAGCCAGCCTATAAACTTTTAGTAAATTATCCTTTTTGATTATACTGAGTATTCATCAAGTAATGTTTGAAATAATTAAGAAGTAACTTAAATATGAATTTTAACAGATATTCTATCTGAAGAATTCTTAAGTTCTGTAACCATTTTTTTAAAAGCCAAACAAAACATTTTCCTGTTTTATTCACATCTTCTCATTTGCATTCTGATGTTCATAAAAGAAAGGAAAAACAACATTGAGTCAGGATTTTTTACTCTGTATAATGATTTCCATCAGTAATATGTTTATCTACAGTTTTCTGGGTTTAACTGCATATGATTTCAAAATGTTTTTAAATTAGGGATGTGCACTAGCAACCTACAAAGCAAATTTAGTTTTTAGGTAAATGTTATTTTAGCAGAAATTAATTGGGCTTACTCTAGACATAATTTTTTTCTCCTGTTTCCAATAAAACAGCATTATTTGAATATGTCGCCATTATTATTGTTATGAAATAAGATTCAACTCTGTTGAAGTCCAAAAATATAATAATTTTATACTTGTTTTTCCCAAAAGAGAATTATGAGAATTATGTTATTATGAGTGATAGTTTTGCCCTTTGAAATGATTTGATCTTTTTTTTGCAGAAATGATTATAAAGTGCAGTGGACCCTTTAGAACTCCAGGTGCCCACGAAGGGCACCATCGTATATGTCACTGGGCTGGGCTCTTACCGTATGTAGTTGTATGCGGAAGAAACAACCTGTCCTGTGGTGTATCAAAAAACATGTAGCTATGAGCTAAGTTATAATGAGGCTCAACTAAATATAGTTAGGACTTTGAGTTTACTTTTAAGGACATGGTCTCATGTAACTTCACTTTAACTTGTCTGCTATTATGCTATTACAATTTCAGGAACCAGTTAACAGGTAACATTTTTCTTCTCCTTGTCCCTTCTAACTTTATAAGTTTGAGATTGAAAATATTTGTGAATCTAACAACTCTGTAGCTAGAAGAGAAATGATTAACTAGGATATAAACGCAGGCGTACGTCAGAGGTATTGCAGGCAGTGAAGCAAATATCGCAATAAAGTGAGTCACACAAAGTTTTTGGTTTCCCAGTGCGTATGAAAGTTATGTTTACACTATACTATAGTCTGTTAAGTGTGCAGTCGCTTTGTGTCTACAAAGCCAATGTACACACCTTAATGAAAAAATACTATTGCTAAAAAATATGCTAGAGATCATCTGAGCCTTCAGTGAGTCATAATCTTTTTGCTGGTGGAGGGTCTTGCCTCTGTGTTGATTTCTGCTGACTGATCAGGGTGGTGGTTGCTGAAAGTTGAGGTGGCTATGGCGATTTCTTTAAATAAGACAATGAGGTTGCCACACTGGTTGACTCTTCCTTTCACTAAAGATTTCTCTGTATCATGTGATGCTGTTTGACAGCACTTTACGCACAGTAGAACTTTTTTCAAAATTAAAGTCAATCCTCTCAAACCCTGTTCCTTATCAACTAAGTTTATGGAGTATTCTGAATCCTTTGTTGTCATTTCAACAGTGTTCACAACATCTTCACCAGGAGTAGAAACCATTTTGCTCGTCCCTAAGAAGCAGCTTCTCATCCATTCAAGTTTTATCATGAGATTGCAGCAATTCAGTCACATCTTTAGGCTCCACTTCTAGTTCTCTTACTGTTTCTACCACATCTGTAGTCCCTTTCCCTGCTGAAGTCTGGAGCCCCTCAAAGTCATCCCTGAGAGTTGGAATCAACCTCTTCCAAACTCCTACTCATGTTGCCAGTTTGACCTCCTTCCATGAATCACTTATGTTCTTAATGGCATCTGGAAAGGTGAATCCTTTCCAGAAAGTTTTCAATTTATTTTGCCCAGATCCATCAGAGGACTCACTGTCTATGGCAGCTACAGCCTTACAAAATGTATTTCTTAAATAATAGGACTTCAAAGTCAAAATCACTCCTTGATCCATGGGCTGCAAAATAGGTGCTGTGTTAGCAGGCCTGAAAACAATTTTTAAGCTTCTCGTACATCTCTGTCAGAGCTGTTGGGTGATTAGGTTGCATTGTCAATGAGCAGTAACATTTTGAAAAAAATCTTTTTTTCTGAGCAGTAGGTCTTAACAGTGGGCTAAACATAGTTGGTAAATCATGCTGTAAACAGATGTGCTGTCATCCAGGCTTTGTTGTTCCATTTATAGAGGCCCAGGTAGAGTAGACTTAGCATAATTCTTAAGGGCCTTGAGATTTTCAGAATGGTTAATAAACATTGGCTTCAACTTAAAGTTGTCGTTGGCATTAGCCTCTAACAATAGAGTTAGCCTGTCCTTTGAAGCTTTGAAGCTAGGCTTTGACTTCTCCTCTCTATTAAAGTCCAAGGGCATCTTCTTCTGATAGGAGGTTGTTTGATCTACACTGAAAATCTGTTGTTTAATGTAGCTACTTTCATCAGTGATCTTAGCTAGATCTTCTGGATAACTTGCTGTAGCCTCTACATTACTTGCTGCTTTACCTTGCGATTTTATGTTATGGGGACGACTTCTTTCCTTAAACCTCATGAACCAACCTGTGCTCGCTTTAAACTTTTCTTCTGCAGCTTCCTCACCTCTCTTAGCCTTCATAGAATTGAAGAGAGGTAGAGCTTGCTCTGGATTAGGCTTTGGCTTAAGGGACTGTTGTGGCTGGTTTGATCTTCTGTCTAGACCACTCAAACTTTCTCCGTATCAGCAATAAGGCTGTTTCACTTTCTTATCATTCATGTGTTCACTGGAGTAGCACTTTGAGTTTCCTTCAAGAACTTTTCCTTTGCATTCGCAACTTGACTGTTTGACGCAAGAGGCCTACCATTTGGCCTATCCGGCTTTTGTCATGCCTTCCACACGAAGCTTAATCATTTCTAGCTTTTGATTTAAAGTGAAAGACGTGGGACTCTTCACTTGAGCGCTAAGAGGTCATTATAGGGTTATTAACTGGCCTAATTTCAGTGTTGTTGTGTCTCAGGGAATAGGGAGGCCCAACAGAGGGAGAGAAGAGCTGGTCAGTGGAGCAGTCAGAACACAGCTATTAAGTTCTTAGCTTAAAAATATTCATATAAAACATTAATCTACAAACCGAATTTGAGTAATAGGTTGTTACTTTTCAATCCCTAATGTAGAAATATTTTGAGCATATGCAGTTAAACCCAGAAAACTGGCGATAAAAGAAAAAGATACATAACATCTGAATTATTCCAATAGGCTAATATTTTGCTAAATTCTGACTTTCCCATTTATAGTGGGGTGGTGATAAATATTTAAAATATTTTTCCTTCAATTTCAGAATGTTACTGTATCATTCATTCAGCAAATACCTCATTTAATTACTACTATTGGTTAGACATTATTAGTATATGAAATAAATATGACAGCATAGCAAGAAAAAAATATGTGAAGTGAAACTATCTGTGATGTTTTAAGTTTGTGATAGCATTAAGTTTGGTGGGAGTAGAGTTGAGAGAGAAAAATTAATGCAATCAAAAGAAGATAATAGTAGTTTAAAAGCTTCTTTTAAAATTCTTATCGATAGCCACATTTGGTTCTCAATGTGTGGTGCTAAAGTCCTGTCTTCATATGCAAGGCTTTCGGAAACTGCAGTACAGTTCTTCAGACTTTTTTTTTTTTTTTTTTTTGCTTTTAAAAAGCAATCTGAAGGGAAAATTACCTTATATATTATTTTCTGAAATGTATTTTAATTTGTGATGAGTTTGCAGCTGTGCCTTTAAAATGTTTCCTGTCAAATCATCAAGTTCTTTGAAAACTACTAAGAGGATTTAAAACATCAATTCTTCTCATTTTACGTTTCTCAATTTCTTTCTCTCTGACTTAACAGCCACTGTCTGAATGTGTTTCCATTATATTGTTAAATCCGGAAAGAACCCTTGTAAATTTACTTGTCCTACACATTTTCATTTTCATTTTTGAGAGAGATGTATCATTATGGACACACACCAGCCACATGTTAACCACTATACTCTGCCTCTTCTTTCTAAAGGTACGTAGGGAGTACCGGAAATTCTTCAGAGCCAATGCTGGAAAGAAAATCTATGAGTTTACACTTCAGAGAATTGTAAGTTAACACTTTCTGTATATGGTTAATTGTTGCCATTAAATTACCTACATAATAGCACCAACTCAATAAAATGTGCGTTTCTTTAATTGACAAAAATGACTTTTCGGGCAATGATTAAATCATAACCGTGACACTGAGAGTTAGTAATCTTTTTTTATCCTCTCCCCCATATTCAGGTAGAATTGTGTCAGAAAGAGTTGTTATTGGCCCATACTTGATTAATAAAATGTTTTACTTACTTGACAGGGAGAACTTTAGGGAAAGCGAACCCAAGCAAGCCCGGGTCTTGCCCTGTTAAACTTGCTGCCATGAGCAGCAGCAGGGCAAGGCTGGCAACCAAGTTAGTGGGTAGAGGGTTAAAGAGAGAAAGGGTGTGCCACTCTACCAGCGTGGATTTTGGAGTTCTCTGTCTTCCAGAGAAGTATATGTGGTGGTGAACAGACTGTAAACTGTGGAGTCAACCTGCATTGCCGCTTACAGATGTGTGACTTGAGCAAGTTACTTAACTTCTGTGAGCCTCGTTTTTAATCTGTAAAATGGGAATAATAATAGCACTAACCTCAAAGAGCCGATTGGTGTGAGGATTAAAATGGAGTGATGATATAAAGCTCTTTCACTGCCTGGCACATGTTAAGTCCTCTCGAGCAACCCAATCTGATAGAACTTTCTGCAGTGATGAAAATGTCCTGTAACAATAGAGCAGTCACTAGCTCACGTGGTTATTGAGCACTTGAAATGTAACCAATGTGACTGGATTTTTTATTTTATTTAATTTTATTTACTTAAAATTTAAATATAAATAGGCCATGTGACTAGTGGCTACCTTTTCGATAGTACAGCTCTATAGTATTAGCTGGTGTTAGTATTAGTGTTAATATGAGTGTGAGTGTCGGTATTCTTCTTTTAACCATTTGGTGGAGCTCATATTTCCCCAACCAGTATGAAAGAGTGGAATAGAGACTTCCTAGATGAGTTACAAAGTTTTATGAACTTGGCCTGGCATGGTGGCTCATGCCCGTAATCCTAGTACTGTGGGAGGCCAAGGCAGGAGGATCACTTGAGGCCAGGAGTTAAAGACCAGCCTGGGCAACATAGCCAGATGCCGTCTCCACAGGAAAAAAAACCTGGAGTAAAACCTGATAAATTCCACTAAAGATTGATCATGGTGTATGTAAAACAATGTCTTTTCTGGTATATTTTCCTCATTTTTTTGTATTTTCTGTCAAACCCAACACAGGTGCAAAAATACTTCTTAGAAATGAAAAATAAGATGCCTTCCTTATCTCCAATAGACAAGAATTGGCCATCAAGACCCTATCTATTCTTGGATTCTACTCACAAGGAGCTAAAAAGAATTTTCCACTTGTGGAGGGTAAAAAATAATGTCATGTTATATTTTTTTCCAGAGACTTCCTATCATATATTTTGAGTGTTTGAGAACTCTTACATAAAATCAAATTTTGAACACATTCTTGCTTTGCCTTGAAGAGAATTAGTTGAGAACTTTGGTAGTTTTGAACCATGCATCATACTTGACTTTCTGTGAGAAGTCCTGCGCGGCCATGCGGCTGCCTCTCGGCCCGGCTGGAAAGGAAAGCACACGCCCGCCTCGTCTTTCCATTCTGGTTCCTATGGCTTTCACATCATTCAGGTTTTGTTTGTCTGTTCTTCTCTTTGTCAGAAGGAATATTGTAGGAGATAGAAATGACAAAATTTGAACACCTTCAAGTGACATAAAGAAATTCTACCAATTGTAAGAGTTTAGTGTATCAGATTTATTGAACACATACTCATCAGATATACATGTGAACACTCACGCACTTCGATGTGGGGAAAAGGCCTTAAAGTCCCTACAAGACACTAAAACTTCTTCTACCTGAAGTAAAGGGAAGCTGACAATCTGTTTTATACTGCTTTTACTTTAGCTCTCTTGTTTTATAGGAGAATACTGCCCAGCATGGGGCACATGGGGTGTTTGTATAGATGGTGACTGTATTCCAATAACTTAGTCAGTTGTTATGTGAAATGCTAAATATATATGGTTATCAGATGTCATAAAACCATGAGATGGAAGGCATTTAGTAAATGAATGATCAGTGGATACATCTTCCGGGAAGCTCTTTCCTGCCCAGCAGTGTAGGCTTGTTCTTTGTGTATCCGAATCGCATATGTGTGGAGTGACATTATCGCTAATTAGTGTGATGAGTGCTACCAGCACAACATATGGAACTGGATTCTGGGTTTTGTCCCGTAACACTGAGCCAATCTGGCCAGATGCACCAACTTCTCAATTGTTTGTCTCCCTTTTCAGTCTGACACAGAAACTATTTTCAGAAATAATGATGGGGAGCTGCTGATGCTGGGGGTCTGTGCTGCCTCCGCCCTCCTGGCTCCACAATCTACCCCCTATCTCCCTTGGATTGGGGGTGGGGGATGAGAGGGCTGTTTATTCCTAGGGGAGCTTTTCCATGGGAAGGGTTGGCAGCAATGCTAACATTTCTTCGTGGTGGTGCTGGGCCCCACCTGTAACTGAATTTCTTGGAACACTCATCTATTACTAAAAAACCCATCCCTGTCTCCTCTCATTGCAGCCTCAGAGTCACAGCGAAGTGGAACTTCTAAGATTCCATGTCCACATTGTAAAATGGTAGTGGGGGGTGGGGATTTGGAGCGGTGGTTTTCAAACTATAGGTCATAGCATATTTGTGAGTCATGAAGTCAATTTAGTAGATCACTACCAGTGTTTTTAAACGAAATAGAAAACAGAGTGCACAACATATAGAAAGGATAAGTATTGTTTTGAGAAGGTTTTATATAAATTGTCTCTATGTGTGTAGAAATGTATGCACTGAATTGTGATGTGCAGTGATTTTTACTGTGAGTCTCTCTAGAAGAGTGACAGCCTCGGGACTAGGTGATCTGCAGGGACTGACATCACAGTAGGAGAAAACAGTATCCTCCTTGCAGGGCTCAGGCCAGCTAGGCCCTGGTAAGAAGCATCCCAGATTCTGCAATACAAATATAGTCTTTATGACATTTTCTGAGATGAACTTTTTAAAGCCAACAAAGGAAAAAAGTTTTTGGCCTTTTAAGTGAATATTTTGTACACCTTCAGTCTTATCCTTGTTGCTGTTCAGTTGGCTTAGCATATTTAAGAATGAGTAATGATTTATTTATATAAGTGATGTTTTGTTTTGTTCTTCTCATATCACACAGTGTAAAAAATACAGGGACCAATTCACAGACCAGCAGAAACTTATTTATGAAGAGAAACTAGAAGCCAGTGAACTCTTCAAAGACAAGAAGGCTTTATACCCGTCCAGGTATTATTATGTCTTTGCTTTACCCCTAAAAGTCAATAATTTAAAAGTTTCTCAAATATATTTGTAGGCCTTTTCTAGTGGAGTTTGATTTCAGTCTTAAATGGGTGGTTTTGTGAATCATTTTGTAATATAGTTAGCTGGATATGAATACACATAACACATTTGAGCACTGGCTTCCTTAGTGTACTTTAATGAAATGAGATTACGGTTGTTGGTTTTACTTCATTGGCATTAGCTGGAACACTTTATTAAATAATTAGAAGTCATTTAAAATAAAAAATATATAGGCTATTAAGATAAATTTGCATTGTAAATTCCTGTTAGTTTTTCATAGTTTTCTAAGACAAGCCAAATTTCTGTGGGTAATATACTCTAATTACCATTCTCGTCTTCCTGCCTTAACAAGTCAGGTCAGAAGTTCATTTGTAAGGTAAATGAACGAGTGAGCCAGTAGAGTACCTTTCGAGTGTTGCATAAGCCCTGGTCCGTGGTGCCCTCGGTCTGCTAGCTCACTGGACATGAATGACTTAAGTGGCCTGTGCAGCAAGTTCAGTTCCTTTATTGTAAACACCGAGTACTCAGAAAAAGAAGGAACACCAGTCACAAGTTTAACAAGCAAAGTCCTTGGTAAAGACTACTTATCTGAGTATTCTTACATCTCCTACATTCATCATGTCCCCACAGAATTTCTATCCCTTTTCATTCAATATTTATAAAATTTTATTTTTTAAAATTTATTTATTTTATTATAAAAAGTAGATTGTATAATTTCAAGCCAAATCTATAACAACTTACAGCTTCTCCCAAAGAATGGCCTAGAAACAAAAATGTATTATATGCTACGTATATTCACATGTATTACATATGTTATATTTATATTCTCTGTATCTTCATACACATTTGAAAGAGCTCCCTTTTAAAGGATTAAATGAACATAAGTTGCCAGACTCATTGGGTTTAAGGACTTTAAGTTGCACAGCTCCCTTAGTTGGCTGAGTTGACTGCTCGAGGTGATATATATATTCCCTTAAGGCAAACACAGCAGCTAAGTCTAAAGTTGTCCAAAATGCTTATTACATAAAGCATATTCAAACAGGAAAATTGTCTATATGCTTGCTTCAGCAACTAATTTTACTGAACTTTTTCTTTATACATTTTAAAATTAGAAAGTAACCCTCTTAATGAACATTCCCTGCACGTGACTCTTCAGAAACTGCAGGCTGGAAAATACATTTTTGAAGAAACTAATTAAAAGGCCGTTAGCATTTTTTATTATTTAAAATACATTTGAATATTAATTTTTAAAAGTTAACTTCAGGCCAAGTCCTTTTTAGGTAGTTTGATCAGTTTTCAGGGATGGTGTCCACACTCACCCCACAGCAGCGAGGGAGGTGGAATAATTTACCCTCCCACCACTCTGGGAAGTGGCAGCTCTTATGGGAGTCAGTCGGCCTTTTACATCCTGGGAGCTGCGAAACATTGACCACCTACGTGGATTTTTCTTCCCTAATCCTCCACCCACAACACAAGCCTTTAAAGTCATATTTGCAAATTGCCAGATCTTTGTAGCTCAAAATAAAGCTTGTAGATCGCTTGAAGCAGCAGTTTTTTTCTTGGTGTCTTGAATGCTGTCCTAAGAGAGTCCCCCCACAAGTATTTAGGGAAATCAACATCTTAATGATAAGAGCACAGTTAGGCCTCTTGAGAAAATTTGTTGGGGAAAAAAAACTGCTCTGATTCTGAATGTTTGCTGTGGTTACTTCTGTCCTTTAGAGGCATATCTTAGGAGGAGGCTTGATTCCCCTCTGGTATACAGATGCTCCTTGACTTTTGATGGGGTTATACCCTGGTAAATTCATCAAAGTTGAAAATATCACAAATTGAAAATGCATTTGATACACCTAACCTACCCTAGCCTACCTTAAACGTGCTCAGAACACTTACATTAGCCTACAGTTGGGCAAAATCATCTAACACAAAGCCTATTTTATAACAAAGTGTTGAATATCTCATATAGTTTATTGAATACTGAAAGTTAAAAACATTGTGGTTGTATGGGTGCCATTGTAAAGTTGAAAATCATAAGTTGAACCATCGTAAGTTGGGGACCAGCTGCATTGCCTATTTAGAACCGGGGTTACATGATAATATCAAGTGCTCTCTAGTTATCTTCTAAAGTGATTGCCCTGGGATGCAATCACTTTCCCAGAAAGCCTACTGATTTTCTTATTCTCTGCAAGAAAATTAAATTTTTCTTTGGAGCAGGTGATGGTGATGATTTCAGCTCTTTTTTTCATTGCCACATATTGTTTGAAGGCCTTAGTAAATCCTTTGTGGGCAGCTGTTAGCTTTATATTAACAGATTAGAAGAAATTGCCTTTTCTTTCATGTGAGGCTATGCATTTGAGTCTTAGCTTTTGTTCTTGCCAGTGATTTCTATCCTGATTGTTCTCTGTGATAAGATCGTTATCAAAGTCCTACCTACCAAATGCCATGATCACATCAACAATACGTTTAAAATAGGTTTATGGTTTCATTTCCAACTTATATTTAGAATAGGTGAAAGTGTAATATATAAAATAAATCGAAATAACTTTTTATGAAGTTGTCGGCTCCTCCTTAGAATCAGCTGGCCTGTTTCACTTTCCCAGTAGTACTTCCACTTGAAATGGTTTCTAACATGCAGGAATTTTTCCCTTTAGTGTTGGGCAGCCATTCCAAGGGGCTTACCTGGAAATCAACAAGAACCCCAAGTATAAGAAACTCAAAGATGCCATTGAAGAAAAGATCATCATTGCTGAAGTCGTGAACAAAATTAACCGTGCTAATGGGAAGGTAAAAATGCTAACCCTGAAGACTGTTAAGTATTTATTAGTTGGGACAGTAATCCTTATTTTTCTGAATCTTAAAATTCACATTTCATGGTCTTGGTAGAGGTACTGTGAGGGGGGTATTTCCCCTTACCTTTAGGCTTGGGTGGGATTTTGCATGTTCTCTGAAATTTTTATGAATTAAAATATATTATCTATGTTTTTTAGTGTGTTCTTGGTTTACATAGGTATGCTTATTGAAAGGTATTAGAATAAAATGTGCATTTCTGCAAATAAATAATGCTTTAAATTCATGGATCATTTTTGGATATTTTTGATCATTGTTGTACACCTTTTTTGCTTTGCTTTAGAGTACATCCCGGATTTTCCTCTTAACAAACAATAATCTCCTCCTTGCTGATCAAAAGTCTGGACAAATCAAGTCCGAGGTTCCCTTGGTGGATGTGACCAAGGTGTCAATGAGCTCACAAAACGATGGCTTCTTCGCGGTGCACCTCAAAGAGGTAAAGTTTCAACCAGTGACTTGACTGAAAGATTTCTGCATTTGTCCAGCCTCTTGGGCATTGATTTAAAAATTTCCACATCCGATTAATCCTATTGCCTGAAGTCTATATATCCTCCTCACTGGTTTACAAATTTTGGCTGTATTCACCCCTATGTAAAATCTCAGGCTTGGTTTTTCAATAGTTGAATAAACTTAATCACTTTTATTGACTTGTTCACTTTACTTTTTGTGACTAACACATAGAAATATTAAGATGTTTTAAATTATGGTTCCTCCTATTGTTTCTTCTTTGTATCAACTTAGTAAATGTCTTCTTGTTCATCTTTAAAGGGATTTGTATTAAAGGATACAACTATAATAAAATAACAGCCTAATAATTTTGACCTAAAGATTTTTTATGTTCGTTGCCTTTAGCTTAACCAGGACCTCCTGACTTGAACGAAGTGGTTAAGTGTAGGTTCTGGAACTGGTCTCACTAACTTTATAATGACATTGGCCAAGTCATTTAACTTTTGTGTGCGTATCTTTAAAATGGGGATAATAATAGTACCTACTTCGTAGCATTGTCATAGGATTAAGTAAGATACTGTATGGACAGTGCCTGTCACATAACACTTAGTCGCTTGAATAAACCAACGTTAGGAATATTAATCATATTTAGGCATATGTGTCTAGCTAATAGTGCCACTATTTGGCTGACTCTAAACTTAGAAAAATCTTAAAAGCTTATCTCAGCCTGTTTTCCCCACTGTGGATCTTAATTTATAGAGGGCATATCAAATCCTAGAACAGTAATTCTCAACCTCAGTGTGTGAAAATTACACATTTTAACAGCTTGGGAACATTAAAAATGCTGCTGCCCAGGCCATGTTTTTAGTACAGTCAAATCAGAATTTCTGTGAATGGGGCAAAAGCTTCAGATTTTTTGCAAACTCCTCCATGTGACTCCCTTGTGCTGCTAAGGTTTAGAGCCACTGCCCTAGGATATTTGGTGGAAGTGGTGTTGTTATTTTTTTATTTTTTTAACCAGATCACTGAGGAATTTTTCAACCAGCTCCTCCAGAATGAGTTACAGGTTAGGTCAGCACTCTCTGAACCTGAGTGTATAAACACATCACCCAGGGATCTTGTCAGGGATTCACATTCCGTGGGGCTGCTGTAGGGCCTGAGATTCTACTTTTCTAACAAGCTCCCAGGCGACGCAGGTGGTGCCTCTGCTTCATCAGCCGGCTTTGGATAACAAGGGGTTAGGAGACCTTATGAAGTGCTCTGAGCAAGTTGAAGAAAGACTGCTCTTGTCATTATTGTTTACTTTGGGAGAATGGACTCCAGTGTCTGAGGTTTTAGAGAGACTGTAAATATGTTTTTAGCCAAGCCTGTGAACATTTACCTCCTAAGGTGTCTTTAATTATGATAATCTGACTCTTGGTTTGCCCTTTTAGGGCTCAGAAGCAGCCAGTAAAGGAGACTTTCTCTTCAGCAGTGACCACCTGATTGAAATGGCCACCAAGCTCTATCGCACGACTCTCAGCCAAACCAAACAGAAGCTCAATATTGAAATTTCCGATGAGTATGTTCATTACTGTTTGAATGTGCCTTTTCACTTTCAGCTTTATTGTTTGAGTTCAGACCTTTGATTTCATTCAGTAATATAACAGGTAGTTGTTAAGCCCCAGGTTTGTGTCTAGTAGCTGTTCTACGTGATACATGGACAGTGAATGCCTCTGATGGAGTCCCTGCCTTCGTATACCTGGCATTCTAGTGTTTCCGGTGGTTAGATGGTCATTCCAGATGACCTTTTCTAGATATCACACAGGATATCTAGAGTTGTTCATAAGCATTCCATATTGACAAGGGTTCATTAGTGCTAAGACTGATATAAATTTGAAATTTGTTTTCTTAACTTCTGTTAAGGTTCTGATTACAGAGGCTGATTATTTGCATACAGGTTGGGGCATCCTCCTGTTCAGTGAATCTATCTGTGAGTTGTCTGGATGAGTTTGAGTTACTATATTGATTGATGCTTAATTAGTTACGTTTTAACAGATTGTTTACTACCTTTTTATATATTTCTCAGCATATGTAGTAAAAATTTGTATAACCAGATTGCTCAGGAAATGATCTTATTTTCAAATTTAAAAAGTCTATTCTGTTTCATCTTTCTCTAAAAGTCTTTCTAAAATAAATTCACACTCATTTTTGCCCCTCTGTAAGTCAAACTCTCTTTGATGTGTTAGGATCTGCAGTGCTGAAGGCGTACCTTAAATTCTCATTGAACACTAAGAATGTTGCTTAGATTGGGTAGGAAATTGGGTTTATGTACACTCTACATTGGAAATTGCTTTTTGGACTAAATAACTTCTTGTTAATGAGGCCTTTCTCATAAAACAAAGAATATTAGGAAAAAAGATAATGGTTGGTTGGGTTCCAGTTAATTAAGGTTTTAACATGTTAGGGCTTGTTAGAGCTTTAAAATCCCTTTAGTTGAAATGTTTCATAATTTGGGATAATGGGCTTTGGTGGGACTGCTAATTCCCACTCATCATAGGAAGATTATATGTATTTCAGGTGCAGAAGCTCCTCGGGGGGCGGTGGGGGGGTGTATGGCTATATGAAGTGGCCTCACATTTGGCCCACTACATTAATAAAATCATCTTTATAGGGAAAAGAAATCACACCAAAATCCAGGCCACAAAGGATTGCTGCTTTTAACATTTCCCAAACCGATATTCTAAGAACACTACTCTAACAGAACATTAATAACGATGCATTGTGAAAAAAATCTTCTCTGGTGAAATTTAAAGTCTTTACTATAGCACTTCTCAGAGCCTCTAAAATCTTGTGGCACACTGTGACTCTCTGGGGGTGGGGATTTGGGAGGATAGCGTGTGCTGTGTTCCCTAAATGTAGGCAACCACAGAACCCCTCCAAGGGCTCTCAGCACTTGTGCTCAGAGGCACTCAGTCTGGGAAACAGGGCGGGACCCTGCCCTGCCACAGAGGGCATGTGATATTCTGGAGGAAATAAGCCTTCAGTAAATACAGTTGTCTGAGTGAAGATTTACAGTGGGCCACGTGAAGAAAGAAACATTAGGTAGCCTTGTAATACTTCCTTCTCCAGTTCTTAATTATCGATTGGTCTCATAAAAATCAAACAGCTGATGGAACCTTGCGTAGCACCCATGGGTCCCTTCCCAGGTGGCACCGGAAGCCTGGCGGGGAAGTTTCCAGAGCAGCTTCTGCTCCATAACCCCAGGGAGCTCTTAGGCAGAGGTGCGTGAGCCTGTGTGTGTCATCCCTGAGTGGCTTCACTCATTTCATTGCCAGCTGAGTAGAACCAGCACTGAAAACTGCATGTAGTTCAGTGACTAAACCCCTTTGGTGTATCCTTTTTAGAAGTAGTAGTTACTCTAACAAACCCAGTTTCTGTAATCATTGTGGATAAACTGGATGTCATGGGAAGAGAGTCAAAGTTTTGTTTATTCTTCAGTGCAGTCTTAACCTGCACATGTAGAAGTGAGAACCGAATTCATTGAGAGACTCAATCGCCTTGTAATTCCTACTCCTTAAACTTCCAAACTGTTCAATCTGTAAATAGATTGCATTTTAAGGATAACCTGTGAGATGTATAATACAGTCACGCACTGCATAATGATGCTTTACTCAGTGATGGACCACATATACAACAGTGGTCCCATTCGATTGTAATGGAGCTGATAAATTCCTACCACCTAGTGACATTGTAGCCGTCGCCATGTCCTAGTGCAAGGCATTACTCACATGTATGTGGTGATGCTGGTGTAGACAATCAACTGTGCTTGCTGGTCATATAACAGTATAGCACATATAATTACGTACAGCACATAATATTTGGCAATGATAATAAACCACAGTGTTACTGGTTTATGTATTTACTATACTGTATTTTTATCATTATTTTAGGGTATACTCTTTCTATATGTAAAAAAAAAGTTTACTATAAAACAGCCTGAGGCAGGTCCTTCAGGAAGTATTTCAAAAGAAGACATTGTTATCATAGGAGATGACAGCTCCATATATGTTATTGCCCCTGAAGATATTCTAGTGGGACAAGCTGTGGAGGTGGAAGACAGGGATAGTGACAGTCCTGACCCTGTGGAGGCCTAGGCTAAGGTGTGTGTGTTTGTGTTAGTTTTTAAACAAAAATTTTAAAACATAAAAAAAAATTAAAAATAGAAAAAAGTTTATAGAGTAAGAATATAAAGAAAGAAAATATTTTACAATGTATTTGTTTTAAGCTAAGCGTTACTACAAAAAAGTCAAAAAGTTAAAAAATTAAAAAGTTTATAAAGTATAAAAGTTAAGCTAAAGTTAATTTATTATTGAAGAGAGAAAAATATTTTTTATAAGTTCAGTGTAGTCTAAGTATACAGAGTTTATAAAATCTACGGTAGTGTACGGGCCTTCACACTCACTCACGGCCTCACACGGAGCAACTTCCAGTCCTGCAGGCTCCATTCATGGTAAGTGCCCTATACGGGTGTACAATTTTTTAACATTTTATACCATGTTTTTATTGTACTTTTTCTATGTTTCGATTTGTTCAGATACACAAATACTTACCCTTGTGTTACAATACTTACAGTGTAAAGTACAGTGACATACTGTACAGGTTTGTAGGCCAGGAGTAACAGGCTATACCATATAGCCTAGGTGTGTAGTAGGCCGCACCATCTAGGTTTGTGTAAGTTCACTCTATCATGTCCGCACAATGATGAAATTGCCTCATGACGCATTTCTCAGAACATACTCAGAAAGTGAATTTGTCCTATTAAACATTTTAAATATATGTATATACACATGTGTATACATGTACTCATGCACACATATATATATATGTCATTTAAGTTATGCAATTATTTTTCTGAATAATTTAAATCCAAACAACTAATCTATATTCCTTTTACTTTGAAATTCTAACTGGTATTAATGCTATGAAATAATACATCTATGTTATTTTTGCTGGAGGATGATTTTCAGTTCCCTTCTCTGAAATAATAGCGATAAATAATGGAGATAAATAAGAGTACTCACCTCCTAGGATTGTCTTAAAGCTGAGCTAATAATATGTGTAAATGACCAAGAGCAGTGTGTACATGGTAAACACTCAGTACATTTTAGCTATTGTTTCTAGTATGAATCATGATCATGATTTGTAAATGTGGAGATAATTAATGGATGCTAAAGTTATTAGGGAAAGAAGTTCCTGTATATTTATTACACTACAAAGGTCTTTGAAAATTAAAATGTAAGAGTATTTTTTAAATATGTGAATTTGTGTTAAACTTGAAAGATGTTTCTTTCTTTCTTTGAGGCACATAGATATAAGTATGCATGCCAGAGACATATCTCAGATAGTCTAATCTGGAACCATAGCTGTTTTTTTTTTCCAGTACTTTTGGGTTGAAAAGAAACAACCCATTTAAAAGGTTGGAAGTACTGTCCTTATAAAACAACTCATGAATTAGTTTATGCGTTACGTTTCACCACAGTAGATAACATTTGCAAAAGATGGCCTCTTTAGACCTTGAAACTGAAACTGACGTATACAGAGCAGAGCTGTTTAGATCCTTGCTGTCGCCATGGATGTCAGCCGAGTAAGTGATCAGTCGGTGGTAGTTAGGTTGACTCACTTAATAATGTGCCATTAACTCAGAAAACTGTTTCCTGAGGAACATATGGAAAATGTCATAACATTATGCTGATTATGGTGGCCACAAGGAAAAGATCACCAGTTTTGAGATGGGAAGACCTGGTTTCTGGCCCAGCCATGCAGCTTTCGTGCCCACCTGCCGATGCTGTCCTTCAGGGCAGGGATTGCATTGCATACAGCTGGGTGCCTCTCACAGCACCGGTGCAGGAAAGGTGGAAGAATAATCTGTGGATAGTCACTTGGCCCCTGCTGGTCTGTGAAAGGAAAAATTGGGACTAAAATATGGTTTCCCTCAATGTATCATGTACCACTGGTGGGATAAGAGATGGTTTTAGGTGGATTTT